CCCGCCAACTCAATCCAAACACTCCCTCGTGGATATACAACACACACAAAATGACAACTTGAGTTGATTTTTACACTTTGATCAAAGTTCCTTCCACGGGAAAATCCTTTGGTAATCCAACTTTCATTTTGCATAATTCAGATCTCCTAACCACAAACACTAACTATACCAACACCCAAGGTATACGAGTACACTACACCTGTATATCAGTATGTTGATATGTATAAGTTTGATTGAGGAATTTCGAATGGTATAGTTGGGTCTGGCGGCGATTGTGGCAACTTTATCTCGAAACGCCTCAAACGCTTTATGCGAAACTATTATGCGAATGTCGTGCGTACAGAATGTGAAGTGGAACTGAGGCTGGTTTTAATTATGCAGGCACGTGTGCCAGGTGAGCAAATTCCCGAAAATTTAGAATGCAAACAAGCAAACCAGCTAACCAGCAAACAAGCATATTGTTCAAACGTGTCCGACGGGTTTCATACATCATGTAAATCATGTAAATCGGTAAATCTAATTCGTTGATTTCTATTGTATGCAACTCAGCATACATCAAAATGTGTATTGGGTTGCCTAACACACAAAACCATTTTTTTCTCAAATTTTTATATTTTATTGTTTTTCTTTGTAAACAAAGCAGTTTTAATAATTTATCAATAGTTTATTACGTGTAAACATTACTAATTACCACTATTTACGTTTTATTATTTGTTTTCTCAATTTTCTTGGGTCCAAAAGAAGCAAACCAAGATAAATAGCACATAATTAATGCTTCCTAAACAAATTACACCTTTGGAGCACAGTTTTACCGGTACACAAAGAGCGTAATTAAAATTTTATGTTACAACATTATTTATCTTGACTGGTTTTGTTGGTAAATCATTTATTTATTAAATTTTATTAATAATTGTGCTTTAAAAACACGAATCGAACGGAAGTTGTGCTTTCCAGTTCTTGATTAACAAGATACCAATTTTAATGATTAATTAGGGCAATATTTAAATGAAACATTGTATTTTCGAATGCTCGCTTCATAACTCACAGCCTCAGGCACATAAACATGGAGAGAAATCGAAGAGGACAAAGAGAACAAAGTTGATTAGGGAAAATGTACTGTTTTCACAGCGACACTCAATACACGGTGTATTTTCATTGATTTTGAGGTTATGTGAAAGGGTATTGGTAGGTTAGGTTATACCAACGCCATCTATGGTCATTTATTTGTAAATTAAGCATTAATTGATGGATTTTTATTAGATTTACGTGAATTTTTGCTTAAAATTGCATAAAAATGCGTTAAAATAGGTTTTAATGAGAAAAAAAGAAGAAAACTGTTTGATATTGCATTGGAATGTCAATAAAAACGAATTTTAGTAGAAATAAATTGATATTTTGTCATTTTTTACATTTTTTCTTTCAAATTACACAATTTCATATTTTATTTCATTTGATACAAAGAAAAACTGTTACCTATGGTTACCCCTGCATATTCTACCGTTTACTGAAGGTGAATAATGAAAACAGAGTGCTTGCCGACTCGCTGATGGTTATTATAACGTAGGGAATATGCGAATACCCTAATAATTCATAATAGAGTTTACTTTTCCGTAAAGGTTTCACGTAACGCAGTTCAAAACGCGATAAAACCGAAAAAACCCAAAACGAGTTAAAAGTGAGGTTGTATTTTAAGGTTAGAGTATTTGACAATGACGTTTACCATGTTAACAACGCTAATAATTGCAAACAGTCGAAAGCAAACAACATTTATGCACAATATTCGTGCTTGTTAACTTGTATCAGGAAAGTTTGTTCACATGGACGACACAACAGAGAAAATGGCGCAAATTGTGCAAATGGTGCATGAAACCTATCTGCGTTAGGTAAATACAAACCTGTGGGACTGTTTTGATAGAACAATATCAAATATCTGCACCCGGGAGATGATATACTGAGTAAATGCGAAGAACCAACATTATTTTAACTTCCTGGTGTTTTTCTTTGGTTTTTATTGAGTTGTAAAGAAAATATGGATAAAATATTAATGTGGTTGTGTTAATCTTTTGGTTTAAGAGGGTTTTTAGGTTAAAAAAGTATTTTTAGAAATATTTAAGGAGGAAAGTGTGAACATCATAAAAAGTTTACACGTTGCGCTAAAATACAGCATAATAAAATGTTGTGCGGTGATGTTACGCAGCCAGAACGCAAAATGTCGAAAGTTTGCGAAGTTAAACGAACATTCAACCTCACGCAGACCACAAATACCACACAACTCGCAATAAAAGCTGTATTTGTATACAACGTAATTAGTATGTTTTGTTTTACGCAAATATTACTTGTTGCTTTATAATTTCTAAATTTTTAATTGAATTATACAATAATAACGTGTATACTTGGTTGCATACAGTTGCTTCTCTGTTATTTTAAGCTAAAAAAGTAAAATTATTATTTTTCTGCATTTGCTCTGCGATTTCGCAGTTTGTCAAAGTGCCGAGTCGGTAAGTTGCGAAATCGACTTGAAATCGACAACAAACTCTTCTTCGTTTTTCGCTTCAGGTTAAAACAGCGTTCTCTGTGCGCTGTTGACAGAGTGTAAAAAAAGGGTAAAAAGAGTCGCATCAAAGTCGTAAAAGCTTGAACCTTTCACATTTCAGCATGGCGCATATTCCACCTCATTTTCAGTGTGTTGTAACACGCATCAACACGTTGCTGCACGTTCCAGAGCGTCCGAGAGTGTCGGCGTTTAGTAAAACACGCACAAACAATGTATATAATCGGGGAGAAACCGGTAATAAAAGTAATACCCGCCTGGGAGCTGGCAGACAAATATTGCTTCAGTGCGAAACGGCGTAGTTACGCGCTGGGAATCTTCTTGGAGCGATAAAATATGAAAATCATGTAAATTAAGTGGTATTCAAGATTACTGCTTAATATTTAAGGTTAAAATCTAAGATTTTCATAATTATTAGATTGACATCACTATAGGCAACCCAATATACATCTATGTTAATTGTAAGTTGTCTATAGTTAAAAATTATGTTTTAAAGCTTAAAAATGTGTTTTAAAGAGGTAAATATGTTGATATAATGTTAAATATGTGTTTATTGCTATGAAATTGTTATTTTAGACATTTTTATCGATCCGCAGCGCGTTTATGGAATTCAATCGTGTGCAAACGCAATATTGAGTGATTAAATTCACGGAACTCGAAAAATATCAAAGCAAAAGCAAAAAATGACAAACATACGTCGTTATAAAGTTCAATATACATTTAAACTCACATAAATATAATAAAAATAAGGAAATATGTGAAGATATCATTCAATTTCGCTTGAATTTTGATCATTATTCAAGATATTATCGAACACAACTAGTTATTTTATGTATTTTTGAGTCAAAACGATAAAACGACATAAAACCAAAGTAATAGACCTGATTTGTAGATTTATGCGTCAATTTGCAAATAAAAAACGCACGCAAAAGCAACGCACGTGGGAACATCGCCATAAATAACGCCATTATTAATGCCGCCATTGTCGGCGGTATCAGTGGAAGCAAACAGCGTATCGCAGCGTTCACATCCTGGCGATTTTCCTCTGAATTGCATTCACTTCATATATGATTCACCTGTAATGTGCGCGCCCGTTGTAGATAACCTACTTGTGTGTTGTATGTTGGGTTGCATAAGTTGTAGTTACATGTTGCATTGGTAGCCTGCTTTTCACTGCGTAATACATCGATTGATCAAAGTATCCCTAAGTATTTTGATAAATATTAATTAATTTAGCATTTAAAAACTTTATTTTTCAAGTTTCTTGTCATGAGTCCGAAACAAAGCTTAATTTGTTTCATCACAGCACTGTTTGAATTGAGACTGTGTTGTTGGAATGTTGTCTGAATGAAGTTGAACGGAAAGTAAACTCGCAAATCTTTGCGCTGAACTTGCTTTTGCTTCGCCGTCGCGAAAGCCTATAATGATTATGAAACTTCGGATAAAGCGAGCGGGCGTTGTGAAAGATAAATGCGTGTCCGGAACGTTTCGAGAACGCCCCCGATGGACTCCGATGGAAACGTGCGTTCCATTCGCAGAAAATCGTTTCTCATTTCAATTCGTAATTTGCATAATTTACTTTGTTATCCACTTTTCTTGTCGCTGCTTTTTTTTGCTTCGACTCTAATTCGGAGTTATTTGCTTCTGTTCAAAAGAAGAGCGTTTCACTTTTACTACCCTCAAGCGTATCAAGTCTTGATAATCTAATTGTAATCTAAAAATGGAAACAAAATGTTATTAAATGATCAAAATATAATTATAATTTAGATATTTACTTATTTTGGTTACCATAAAATGCATTTAAGAGGTTAAAAGTTTATTTTTGAGGTTATGATTGTTTTTTGACACTTTTAATGCGTAAAATAGATAAAAAGTGAGGTTATGCAGCTATATTAGCTATTAATTACTTATATAATTAATATTAGTAATATTTTATCAATTTTGAAGCACAAAACTATTTTATTTGTTACAAATTGACTCAAAAAAGTAAAAAACTTTTATTTTAAAGTTTTTAGTAATTTAAGTCAAAGGTATTTAAATGCTATGCAAATAAACGTGAGGATAATTAATGTCATCAGATGTAAAACGTGTTAACTTTGGCTTTTACACGAATTTCAACGAAATTCCCAGCTTTTTCAATGCTTTTCAATGATTTTCAACTTTGTTTTCATCAGAAGTCAGCGCTAATTTTACCATTTTGCACCGGTTGAGTTCAGTTCAATTGACTATTTTATACTTACGGCTACAAGTGATATTTCTAGGTATAACGTTAATTTTGGGTATATTTATTACCTAATTGCTAAAATATATGCAACACAAAGACATTTCTTAAAATTAAAGAAACTTTGAAAGAAAGCTTCAAGTGTAATTCATATAATTTATCTAATTGAACTTGTTTAACTTGTTTTATGCTTTGGTATGCCCGTAATGAAAACGGTTTTGTTTGCAGGATGAAATTCATGGTCCAGCCACGCATCAACGGCATTCCAATGACGCTCTTCGTCGCCGCCATCGTGCTCCTCACCGTGGCGCAATTAAGTTCTGCAAGTCCAATGATTCCCAACTAGTAAGCAATTAATTATTAAAATTTAATTATTCAATATTAATCCATATTATCATTATAAATGCCAATGTAAGTTTGTACTTGTATGTTCGTTACGCTTTCACGCGAAAACTACTGAACCAATCTTTATGAAATTTTGTTGATATACTTTCAAAGATATTGCGAAGAACATAGAAAACTTTTTAATTAAAAATTATAACTTAAAGGGTGTTAAATAAGGGATGAAAATTGGTATAGAGAAAGACTCATAGTAATAGTTGAATAATTCAATTACAGATGGCGTTATAGTGCTTTATTGGCATTTTTCCTTTTTCTTCAATTAAAATTGCGGATTTTATTGATTAAATTGACACTTGATATCGCAATCAATATTTGTAACATTGTAAAATTGGATTTACGAGTTGCTAACCCACCATTGACGTCATTAACAACATCCAATGTATCGCTGCGAGTTAAATTACTTTTTTTTCTACTTCCACCATTAAAGCACCACTTTTTCTACGGTTTTGAAGCACAAAAAGTAGTACTTTAATCACGGCCGTGACTAAAGTACTTTATTTATTACTTTCTTTAGCGAATACGTAATCCATTTTATATTTGAAATATTTATTTATAATTTTCGTGAATATAAATTGTAAATCCAATATTCACGAAAAATTATAAATAAATATTTCAAATATAAAATACTTTATTCATGTTCTTTAGTCACGGGGTGGAGCTCGATGATATTAAAAAAAACATATATTGAGTATAAATTACATCTTCATATCAAAACTGAATTAAATTCACTTATAAATCAATAAACTTTTAATTAAACTCTAAAATAGATAATACAGGAACAATTAGTTAATCCTAAAATTGCCATCCACCGCCAACTTCAATTTGTCAATTCGTAATTTGTGTATCGTTTAATCTTGACCAAGCAACAATTAACACCATCACGTCGCCGGTAATGATGCGTGTTAGTCCAGCGTTAATTAAGCAGCCCTCGAATACCAAACAATTTATCAACGTATCTCCACATAACCCACCAACCAACATGAAATGACATACTGATGTAATGTCATATTGTCCCTCCACACATCATACACACATATGTATGACACACACCTAACCTCATTTCGACACTTTAAAGCGAATTGTTGCATAATATATTCGCGAATATGCGCGTAGAAACAGCGCGCGGCAAAGACACAGCCCGACGCATGTTGGAGACACATTGTCTTGTGTTACTAATGCGTGTCGTTGTCGAGTTATAGTCAATTATCGTCGCGCTTAATGAACTCGGTGGGACAATTAAGCTCGAGCGAGCCTGTCAGCTCCTTGTAAACTAGCATTGGATGTGCTGAATTCAATTACGTCAAATCAAATCAAATCAAATCAAAATAACACATAATTACATAGATAGATAATATAGAATAATAATAATAACTTGGATGTGTATTTAGTTTGAGGAGATATATCTATATATATAAAATTTGCGTGTCACAGTGTTTGTTTCCATACTCCTCCGAAACGGCTTTACCGATTTTACCAAATTTTATATGCGTATTCAGTAGGTCTGAGAATCGGCTAACATCTATTTTTCATACCCTAAGTGATAAGGGTTGTTCAACCTTAACTTTTTTAAATTTTTGGACAAATTCTTTTGTTTTTATTTTTTTATAATGTGGAATTAAAAAATACATACAACCCTAAATTTTTAGTTTTTTATCACCAACCCCTATTTCTTTATAGCCATTTTAGTAATTTAATCATTTTTCATCCCGCTCAAAGAAAATTTTTATATGCGTATTCAGTAGGTCTGAGAATCGGTAACTTCATATCTCTAAGAGATAAGGGTTGTTCACCCTTAATTTATTTTAAATTTTGGTCGAAATTTTTTGTTTTTATTTTTTTAATGTGGCATTAAAATATACATACAACCCTAAATTTTTGGTTTCTTATCACCAACCCCTATTTTTTATAATAAGTAAGTTACTTTTTGTCTACACTAAAATTTATCTAGGAACTAGAAATAATTTATATGGCAAAACAACGTTTGCCCGGTTAACTAGTATTAATATAATATAAAGAGTAGTCTAATTAATTATGTTCATGATTATTTAGTAATTATGCTAATATTGAATCAAAATCGGCAATAAAAAGAGAAAAATTTAAATTTAAAAATAAGAAATGTTAAAAATGCACTTTAACGCCATCTCAATTTGAATTTTGTTACTAAAATTAGAAGAAATCTCTTGAATTGCTATTTTAACTTTAATCCCTTATTTTACCCCCTTCTAGTTAAATTTTTATGACAAAAAGTAGCCTATTTCATTTTCCATGCTCTAAAGTATGTCTATACAAAAATTTATCAAAATTAATTCATTGGTTCACCCGTGAATGCGTAACAAACAAACACATACGAATGGCGACTACATGATAATAGAATATTAACATCCCAAAAACATTGTTTTTACTTTTTAAGTAATTTTGAACATAAGCCTACTTAAAGTTGTAGATAATTCCCCCTAAGATTTTACAATGTGAATAATTTATTGTTTGAAGTTTGTAGACATTTAATGCTTCTTGTTTTGTGCTTTTCGCAGCTTTGATTACGACATGCATCAGAAGCAGAACGTGCAGGCGCCTGACTTCACCAAAGCAGGAATCCAATCGACCCTGGAATACCTGCAAAACGCTCTGAATGCTTTGAACTTGGAAAAGTAAGTAGTTTTTCTATTTTTACATTTATTTACATTTTAGAAAGTTTTTATAATAGAGGTTATGTTAACAATTTGACAATTTTGACAGATATACGAAGAGTAAATCTATCTAATAAACTGCAACATTTTAGGTTATGTGTTGTGTGTATCGTATTGTACTCGCGGATATTTGCGCTCAGTGTCAATATTTCGGCAGTGATTTATGCTGATTGAATATTAGTGTGCGACACGATGCTGAGCCGCATGCGGCGTGTGTTTTATTGTTAATGGATTATTCCGTTTTCGAATTATTTTCATCCGCACTCGCAACAGTTTATATACATTTCCAAAAGTTTAACTAAATAATAACAATAATAATACTCTACTGATAGGTAGAGTAGAGTATTAGTAGAAACTGATAATAATTTGTTATTTTTAATTTTGCGTTTCTCTTGTAAATTTTGAGGTTATATTAATCACAAATGCAATGTGAAGGATGTAAATGTGGATATTCAGTGTAATTCATTGTAAATTCGGTAATTTATTCAATTCGTGTTTCCGGTTTTCGGTTTTGTTACTGGCTATAAATTACAAAATCAATTTGCTAATTATGATACAAATTTGTGCAGTCAGTTGACATCATTTCATAACGAACGATTAATGATTATTCAAATTTATTTTCATTTTTAATTGCTGTGTTGTGTTTCAATTGTGAGTTGAAAATTAAGCGAAACATGTCGAATATAAAGCAATTTGTAACCCAACACGATATTTAAAAATTAAAAATGGAAATAAATGTTTTAAGTGATTACTGATCACAATAGACACCAAATGTTATTTAAATGGAAAAAATTATTTATTTTATTTTATTGTTTTGGCAAAAATTATATTTTAAGCGGAAATGATGGCAAATAATTTCAAAATAATCACATTTCTCATATTTTTTATTCTTTAAATGATTTGATTGATTTTATTTATTATATTTTGTTTTATTTTTATTTTGTTTGTTTATCTTTAGATCAGAAATATATACGCCGATTACTTCACGCTCGGACCGATACTCTTTGCCACTCGACGGCGGTCTTACTAGGGACAATAGCGGGAAATGGACGTATGAAATACTGAAAACAATTAATAAGATAAACAACCCGAATCAGTAAAACCCACAATTCACTTAAAATATTGACATATCGAATATCAAAATATCCATTTATAAAAATAAATATCATTGCATCACGTAAAACACTTCAATTTTTAACCCATGCATAAAAAATAATACTTTTTGTATTTAAAATAATAGAATATTAAGTATCAAGTGGCTAAACGAGAGTTTTTGTCACGAGTGTTTAATCAATCGAGTGTATAACAACGTTTAGCCACATGATGCTTACGCTATTTTTTCTATTTCCACTTTATTTCTGTTTGGTTTTTGAATTTGAACTTTTTATTTTAAATCATCAAAGGCGCAGGCGCAAGCTCCACCCCGTGACTAAAACCCGTGATTAAAGTACTTTAGTCACGGTTTTGACCGTTCGTGCGGAAAGCACAACTTTTTATGTCTAAAAGCCATAAAAAAAAACAGGCGTTTTAAAAGTGGAAATAGACAAAATAAATAAAATGAAATTATTATCAATAATCAACAAGTTAATACGTTATTATTTTATCACCCATGAATACGTGATGAGAAACGTTTATTTTAATGCCTAGGCAGTAAATAATTCCAATTAACGAAATAATATATCTCTTAATGTGTTCTTATCTCATCTATTACAAAAAAAGAAAAAGAACATAAATTGTCCATAAAATAGATAGATTGCAATAAATGATTGTCGTCTACACAGGTAATCTTATTATTTCATTATTTATTTACGAGTATCGTTATCTATTATGTTATTACGTTTTGTGTTTTTTTCATTAATTATTAATCATGTAATTGCTTCTAGTCTCGTCTAGCATAAAAAAATTATTTTTTCACATTTATTTTAATATAATTTATTTATTTTCATTTAATTTAAAGAAAAACACATAAAAAGCTATTCATATGAAAGAAAAGTTTTATAATAATATTAATTACACATTTTCATTAACCCAACCAAAATATTCTCAACATATTAATAATAATAATAATAATAATAAATGAAAATCTGCTTCTGTTTTCGTGTGAAAATTAATAATTATGTTTAATAATTCAATGTTTTTGTAACTAATTGAATCTAAAACAAAATTCAAAATGTTTTAGCACCAAGAGAGGAATCGACTTGGGTCTGGGCCGTGGCTTCTCCGGCTCGCAGGCAGCCAAACATCTGATGGGTCTTGCCGCCGCCAACTTCGCCGGCGGTCCAGGCCGGCGACGACGTGCCGCACCCGTCGCCAGCATGCGCGACGACTTGGACGTCTAAATCCAGCCGCCGCCGTCGCCGCACGCATAATCTAAACCACTTAAACAATTACCATGTACTACACCTAACACACTAGACACATGCAGTCCTCCAACACCATCGGGACACAAATATCAATAATTATTAAATATTATTAATGTGTCATTGTACTTCTTCTCAAATAGACACTTTATCCAAACAGAATAAAAAATTTTGATTTTTTTTCATTTTGACATTTGATATTTGACAGTTGGCACTTTTTGACAACTGAACTTAGGTTAGATTCTCTTATGTCACACACACACGATGTCAAAATGTCGAATATCTAAGATGTCTATTTTATAAGTAAAAGTTTAATCCAACTTATCGATAAACATAATATCTATTGGTGTTGCTTCACTCAATAAGCTCAACAAATCAAAACTCAAATTCAAGAAGAAAAAAACAAAAACAAAATGGCGAAATGTTGAATGTTGGCCTAAAAATTCGGTATACTTATCAACTTAACCTCAAAAGCAACTGTCGCAACTATTCAATTATTTGTTAAATCTAAGAGATTGCACAAAGAAACGAAAAAGTTTATTAAAGTTTGAAACTTATAATAAAAAACCAGGGGAAGTCGGAGAGAATAATGAATAATGAATTAAATAAATTGATGTATTTTCTGATGTATTTATCTTAACTTTAAAGCATAGCATGGTGAATGATGGAATTATTTTCAAAGCAAATTAAAAGCAAAGCGCATAAAAATGAAATGATAATTAATTTAAAGATTAAAGATTAATGAATTAAAGTTATGAACGTGTGCTATATGTATTGTTAGCGGATAGTTACACATAGTTAGCAATAGAATAAATAGTTTCTGATTGCAAAGCGTGTTTGTTATTTATTATTAATTTATTACCTTGTAGTTGTTTGCTTTACAGATTTTCGTTCGTTTTCGGATGAAAATGATTGTAATTGAAGCTAATGCGACGTGAACGATTTCAATTTGTTGCATGAGATGCACGAGAAATTGCGCGCGGTGGGTCTTTGATGTTGGTTGAGGTTATGTTGCGTCCTTTATTAGCTTCCGGTCTGCCATGGGCGATTACATCCGGTGGAGAGTGGGTAAACCACGACGTGCGCATCACCAACCGCGAAATATTAAATATAAACGAGCGAAACAAGATGAAATTAATGAATGCTAATCAGGTTTAATAAAAAGTGTACACGTAGATTGTTTTGCAAGATGAATAAATATTGTTTTTGGGTTTTTTCCTTGAAAATACAGAAAATATGTTGATTTGATACTCCTAGCGACCTCTACATGCAAGTATTGTGACTAAAAGAGTATTAAAAGTATTTCTATTCTATATTTTTCAAAAAAATAACAAAAAACTTATTATTTTGTTATATTCTCACCCAAAAATATTTAAAATGATTGGTTTTTATTTTTGTACGATTTAAATTAAGTTATTTCGTGTTTTTTAATAATTTTAATAATACTAATAGGAAGTTTAAAACCCGCTTAGCCTTCGAAATGCGCATCGCGACATTAAAGTTATTTGTGAGACGGGTTTTAAACTTCCTATTAGTATTTGTTTACTCACAGTGCATCAAGTAGTGTAAATTTTAATAATTTTTAACGTGTTTATGCTGGTTTAGTACATGAAGCGCCATCTACACACCAATCTCTGAACTAAACATATTTTAAGATTTCTGTACGTCCTTTACGCTTGATTTGAAAATGCTGCACACTCTGAACGTCGTTTGTTATTATGGATTAAATCCTTGCTCGTGGCACGAGCTTCACGATCGTGAATGTTTCATGACTGCCTAATAAAAGCGACGCTAAACTGCGAAGCAACTAGTTCGCAAATGACTTATTGCGCTGCGCGACGTTTTCACGTCCAAAGTTTTAAAGTTCACGTACGTTTTCCTTCAACATCGATGACGAACGATACAAAACCAGTCGCAGATATTGTCATGATTGTCATTTGTTGGTTCGTTATTTTTGTAGCAATGCACTTGAAACGTACGTAATTGACTCAACAATAATCGTGGCATTAATAAAACGCAGCAATTAGACGCGTAAATACGCGATGTTCCACTAGTTGAGCCTGAAACTAGTTTGAGACATTTGTCGCATGTTTAATTCATCGTTTATGTAATCAACGAAACAAAAACAAGTCGCAATTGCGAAAAAAACACACGAGAATTGAATATTATGCTTGTTTTTGAGTTGTGAGAGAATGACTCGATAGATTTTCATTAAATAAGTGTTAATTTGTTGTTTACATTGTGTGCTAATCGATATTCTAAGAAAAAATCATCCAAAACTCTTGCAAATAATTTTAAATTAATTTTAGAGATAAAATTTAATAAAAACTGCTATAAAATTGATTAAATTTTTATTTTTATTCAAATTAATACCGCATTGCTATTTTTATTGCAATGGAAATAAAATACTGGATTACTGTTTGGCTCAGAACTGAATTTTCAAATATGAAAATCTAAAATGTCTGCAAATATCAGATTGAAGTGATATATCAGAGCTGCGTGCCAGCATCACACCACATAGGCAAACACACATACACGCACACACAAGCTGCTTCCCTATATATCTGGCTATAGATAGAAATTCGAAAGTTAAAAATAGTTTTCGTGGAGGCTGTTTAGCGGTTTGAACATGCCGCCTTGCAAAGCACCTGTTGTCAACGATTTTATATAATAAAATCGCGCGCGTACGCCGCTAATAAAATAAACTCCAGTGGAAAATCAAATAAACCGAGCTTAAATTGTATCCGGATGAAGATGACGCTGTCAAGGATGTGGGAGACATAAAAATTGATTAGTTTTCATTGAAAATGACTTTAAAGTGATTTTGTGTCAATATTTAAACTCTAGGCAACCAAACAAGCATAAAATATTAATAAGCAAATGGTAAAAAGTCAAAAAGTCATAAAAATTTGTTTTAAAGTGAATTAAAACACTTTTTGACATTTTTGGTTTTAGTCAAACTATAGGCAACCAAACAAACATAAAATTTTAATAAGCAATTGGTAAAAAGTCAAAAAGTCATAATAATTTGTTTTAAAGTGAATTAAAACACTTTTTGACATTTCTGGACTTTAGGCATACTGTAGGCAACCAAACAAGCAGAAAATATTAATAAACACAAGGCAAATCGTTCAGGAAATTCAAAAAAGTCTTAAATATTCGTAATAATTTGATACAAAATGATTTAAAACACTTTTTGACATTTCTTGACTTTATCCATACTATAGGCAACCAAATACACACAAATTCTATAAAAGCAAATGACCAACTTGTGCTTTGAAGTTAATTTACTGCCATTAAACGCTTGAAATAAAAAGAAATCAAAAATGATTACAATAATTTCGAATTTGTCCAGGTGATGAGAGATAAGACACACACAGTGGTGCGCGTTACGCCTACGCGCTATGATTGTTTGCTTAATTCGTTTGTAAATCAAACATTTGCTCACAGCTTACACACGCACGCACACATACACCACGTAAATTTAATATATATTATCGCGACGTAGATAAACGCGGCCGATTTTTGGCGGCTTTATCGTGCGTCGCCCGAGTATTTTAAACCACGCGCCTTCGACTGTTATTCATTTCTAGCCGTACAGTCGTAACCTACATTATAAATAACGTTTTATACCTATAAGCCAACGACAACATAATATAACCACACAGCGCTATTTTAGCTCCTGGATGCATTCGAAACACTTTGCACGGCTTTTTGCGCGGAAAAATCAAGAAATTGATCGCTCAATTTAAATTTAATCTTGCGGCCGTTTTTTTTTCCAGTAAACTTTTTTAATTATCTCGATAAAATCGCACCGCTGCGAGATGTTGAAGGGGGAAATGTTTGACCTTTGTCATAACTCATCAGTAGCTTTTTTCTGGAGGCTAAAAGAGTAAAATTTGTTAAAATCAGCGCTGAAAATTAATAAATACTTGTTGAATTGACCTTTGACTTATTATCAACGCAAACGCAAGCTATGATCTTAGTTACATCACTTCCTTCCGTCTGGTTAATGGTACTCACATTATAAAACACAATTATTATTTCCTTGAAGCTGAAACTGATTCTTTTATGTTTCGATTTCATCGTGTAATAATTTAGTTATGTAACTGTATACTATAGTTGTGTATATTTGGTTGCCTATGTTACGTGTATTACTACGTATGCATAACCGCTGCATGAAGTTTAACCTGAAATATTATGTAAAGTTGTTTTACGACGTTGGCAGTGATTGAAAGTTGATTTGTGCCCTGAGGCCGACCCGCGATATCCTATCACACAGCATCACATACCCAATTTGCGCCGAGATGTCGACTTTGGCGTTTGGCTGTGTGTATGCGTGTGTAAATAGTTTGGAAAGGCGTCGCTGGCGTCGCCGTGTGTCTAATTAGGTATGGATTTGGGTCGGCGCACAAATCGGCATCGGCATCGGCATATCTTGTTTTGGAAAACATTCCATTCCGAAATTAATTTGGTTCGTCGAGAGGAACACCGCATACATTTATATGCAGAACAGGTGAGTACATATGGTTGATTATGCAGTAAATTATTACCAATGACGCAATCGTACACGTTTTGATCGGGTGCGAATGTGTGCGACCAGTTTTTTACGTTTTAATATTTCAATTGGTTTCCTCGGAGGCGTTTCCATTTCGATTTCGATTTCGATTTCAATTTCAAGTTGATTTGCGTGCTCGACACCTTCATTGGGTACCTGTTTTAGAATATACCGAGTGTACAATATTTTTAACAATCAAAAAAGTTTCTTTAGTTTTCCATAGTTATATAGGCAACCAATATTACACATTTTCATTACATTTACTTATACGTTAATTAAGTTGCCTATATTCCGGCGTAAATTAATAGAAATACACTGTATATTAATTTATTGTCATTTTTAATCATTAAAATAATCATAATATTAAATTGATTGTTTTTGTTTTATTAAATGATTAAAATAAAAAAAATTAAAGCAGCGTGGGTTAAAAATATATAACGCGCGTTATTAAAGCACACATTGAGCGTTGAAAAAATGAAAAGAAAACTAAAAAGTGCAAACGGTGATTACGAGTGTCTATTTGTGGCGCAGACAGTCTCTGCCGTCATTAATTTCATTTCGCCGAGAGTTCACATTTGCACATGTTAGCGACACAAGCAATTTTCACAGAAATTATATAATTTCGCCGATAAAGTTTTTCCACTAACTGAAATTATTGACGTTGAAACAGAAAATAGATATTTTAAATAAATAAATATATACTTTTTATTTGATTTCAATTTACCGTACACTAATTTGATTAAAGCTTTAAAAATATATCTAAAAATAAATACCGTTTATAAATAGAAAATAAAAATTCAAATCGTTATAACTTTATAACTAACATTAATATTTGATTTTTCTTTTTGATGTTGATGCAGATTTTTATTGGTGATATAATAATTAACTTTGATGCAGTGGCGGATTACGGCCTAGGCGCACTAGGCGCGCGCCTAGGGCCCCGGCTGCCTGGGGGGCCCCGGCTGCCTGAGGGGCCCCTGGCACTTATATGTCCCATATAGACATAGTAATTCCACAAATACTTCATCAGTTGGTTTTGACCTCAGCCTTTATGAATAGCGTATTGGTTTTCACTTGGCGCCCAAAACGGCATTTCACACGTGTTCGCAAAGCAACCGTCACGGATATATAGCTGACTTAAAACTTTTTATCTCCGATTTTATTTCTTTATGACAAACTGTTTAAAATAAAATTTGGATGTTTTCTGCCACGTATTTTTGTGACCTTTTCTTGAATATTGCATTAGAAAGTTGTAGCTATAATGCGAGTAGTATATTGCCAATTTTTTTTTAAATTTCGAACATCTGTGGAGTTGAGGAATATTCCATTAAGGTTGTAAAATAGCGGGTAACTCTCTTTTTTGGAATATTAATTATTTCGTCTTTCTATCATTTTTTCACATCTGCGGAACACGTTGTACCAACGTTTATCCTCCTACAATTTTTATCTAGATTTTTGGGGTGGTAGTTGGATTAAAAAAAAAACAGAGTTCAAAAGAGTTCGATCAATTTGAGACGGCACTGTTAACAATTTTCTGGAACAAACTCCTACAGAGAATCGAAATTACCAGCAAATACTTGCAGGAACCAAAGACAAATACATATTCTTAATAGTGTTAGTTTATTAAAATCATTAAACGAATTTATAACAGTGGTCAGAAATAATTTCGAAACTGTTGAAGAGGAGGCTAAATCCCTAACAGCTCATCATTCTTATAAAGAGATGAGACAAAGAAAACGCAAATATCCATATGATAAAACGAACAAAAATGATACAGCATTTTCGTCAAGAAATTTTTTTATTGTCAACATTTTTTATATTGTATTAAAATTTTCTTTGATTTAAAATTAAGCCGTGTTGAGACTAATAATTGTGTAGAGCGATTATTGTCTAAGTATGAAAAAGATATTGAGCCAGAATATTTCACTGATGAGTTAACTCATTTTCTAAAATACGTACAAGAAGAAAATATTAGAGATCCACATGAAATGTATGCAACATTAAGTAATGGTCTAAAATCAACTTTTCCAAATATACACACAATACTGCAAATTTTTTTGACCTTGCCCGTTTCTAATGCAAGTGGAGAAAGGACATTTTCAGTTTTAAAACGAGTCAAAAACTATCTGCGCAATAGTCTTTCACAAGAGCACTTAAATGACTTCGCATTAATGTCTATAGAAAATGATATTTTTAAAAAACTAGAGTACGACAAAATTATTGAAATCTTTGCCCAAGAGAAGGCAAGAAAAGTAAATTAGTAATTTGTATTTAAATACGATTACCGTTTTTGAGCACACGTACGATGAACTCGAGAACCAAGATAGCATTGAAAACGATAATCCCATCGATCGGTTCTGAAATCAATTAACGCACAACACCTGGTCCACCGCGAAGAGCGAATCGGAAGATAATCCATTAAATTTTGGAATAGTGCATGTGGATTAGGCCTGCTGGGGATACCACGATAAAAAAAAAACGCGCCACGTACTCTACCTCATGGTGGTGTGGAAATGAGTTTTTGGCACAAACGAATGTTGAAGTAGACTTTGCGGCGCCCGTACGTTAAAACTATTAATTTTACTGGGCTAATAACCGTTTTTGAAAATTTTCGGATTTAGGGGCCCCAAACTTGATTTGCGCCTAGGGCCCCACTGAAGTATAATCCGCCACTGCTTTGATGTTGTTTTTATATAGTAGATATAAAAATTATAAGCAAAAAACGATATAATTTAGTGAGATCGTAACGTTTGATAAAAAAAGTTGTATAACTCAAGTAGGAATGCAGATAATTACATTTTTCTTTTTGTTAATGAATTAAACAACTCTTTGAGAGTATTATTAGTAAATATTATAAAATATATTTATTAATACGAGCAGAATAAGTAAAAATTTTCATTTTTACTAAAGAAAACGATTAAGTTTAAATGTGAAAATAAAAATTGATTTTGCTCCTTTATAACTTTAAAACTAATATAGATAAATGAAATTTTCTTGTGTAAAATAATAAAACAACTACTTGGGAATATTATTACAAAATTTTATGAAATTCTACAAATTATTACAAAAATTATTAGGAAAATACTATTTATTTTCATTTAAAAAAAAGTTATGTTGAATAGCAAGATTAAAGTCAACTTGGCGCCGTTATATCTCAAAAACTAATAGAGATAAATTAAATTTTCTTTTTTAAAATAATAAAACAACTAATTGGAAATATTGTGAGCAAATTTTATGAAATTTTGTTGATTAGTTCAAAAATTATTAGAGAAAAACTACATATTTTCATTTTAAAAAAGTTAGGTATATACGTTAAGATAAACATCAATTTTCCGCTTAGATATCTCAAAAACTTATAAAGATAAATTAAATTTTCTTTTTCCAAATGATAAAACAACTAATTGGGAACATTATTAGGAGATTTTATGAAATTCTGCTAATTATTACAAAAATTATCAAAGAAAAACTATTTATATTCATTTTTAAAAACGTTATGTTGATTAGTAAGATTAAAGTCAACTTTGTGCCTTTATATCTCTAAAACTAATAAAAATAAATTAAATTTTCTTTTTTTAAATAATAAAACAACTAATTGGGAACATTATTAGGAGATTTTATGAAATTCTGCTAATTATTACAAAAATTATCAAAGAAAAACTATTTATATTCATTTTTAAAAACGTTATGTTGATTAGTAAGATTAAAGTCAACTTTGTGCCTTTATATCTCAAAAACTAATAAAGATAAATTAAATTTTCTTTTTTTAAATCATAAAACAACTCCTTCAGAACATAATTGAGCAATTTAACTTGATTCAGTTCAGTAGTACTAATATTATAATTCAAAAACTCGCAATTTTCATTATAAAATAATTATTTTTCTAAATAATCATTTCTCACTTTTATAACACAAAAACTATTAAACTTAAACCAAATTTTCGTTTTTTAATGATTCCGCAATTAATGTTTATTAATAAAATTGCATTTTATAGATTTCAACAAAATTACAGTGAAATAATACCGAGGAAACCGATATACTATATATTTTTAATGAAAAGGCGGTGATTACTATAATTAAAATCGAAACAAACACAAAATGAACAATGGTAAATTAACCACTTCATTGTTCTCATTAAACTTGATACAAATATGAGGGTTGAACGCAATTTGTACCAATAACTGCCATCCCGTAATTCATTATTTTCCACGCTGTAATTTTTCTGAGCTTATGCAAATACCGCTGTCATTCCGCTCGGTTTTTTTCCCTGCGCGCGCGCCCATCCCAAAATCCCATCATTCCCATCGCCGGATTAATACATTAATACAAGCGGGCGTACACTTTTACGTCGCGCACGGGAATTACGTCGATGTTTGCAAACACGCCGCGCCGCGACTATAAATAGCGACGCGCCCGGCCGACCAAAATGAACCCGACCGGCAAGAGCGATGCGAAAATAATGTCGATACATGTGTGTGCACCGCCCCGGCTCGCATTCGATTAGATTCCAAGCGCTAACCCATAACCCAAACTTCCAACTCAAACTGAAAACTCAAATATGCCGAAACAGGCGCAAGAGCCGTTTCCTGCCGGCGCGCATGTAGGCAACCCAATGTACATCCAACTGCCAGCTACCATAAAACGCAGCGTCACGCTGTCTCCGGACACAACTAAATACACGCGCACACTCGTACGTAAGCAAAACCTATTAGCACATCCATACACAATCACTAATAGAATTAGAATCGAACATAACGTGTGCGAATATTGAACGCCCGTGAACGCGCGTTTGCATAAAGCTCGTCGGCTCGTCACTGTGTCCAAATACGTGCACGAAACAAAAGATTTCGATGTGGTTTATATGTTAATATGGTTGCATATTCATGCAATTTCTAACATGCGTACGTACGCGTGATTATGCATGATTTAGGCGATGTTTCAAGTGTAAAGTGTAATTTTAGTCCGAAGTACAACTTGCAGCCGAGTGCCGAGCAAGTGTGTAGGCAGAGCAACAGCGTTTATGAACGCAAACTGACAGAAAATGTAACGCGGCGATAATAAATAATGAAGTCATGCCACCAGCTGGAAAAACGAGCTGTAATCAACGAAAATATGCTTAGAAATAGAACTCTACTCACTCGAAGATAATAGAAAGTGTGGCAGTGTATTGATTACACTGGTTTTTCAGTTGAAAAATGAAAATAACTGAAAGTTTCATAATATTTACATACATTTCAATATTATGGCGCATTCTGGGAGGCTGGCGTAAACAAATTTTGATTTAAATAATGTTATACAGCCATATTTTGCCAACTTGCACCTAAAAATACAAAATTTAATAAAACTATGTAAGAATCTCAATTTTTAACCTCAAAATTTTACCGTCTGACGTAACATTCTTCTATTTTCATTCATATTTGTGGCTGACATCGATACGTGGTGTAATTCAGTAATTTTATTGATCAATTAAAAGGCGTTTGCTCGGAATCGCCAGCGGTCAGAGGTGAATCGAAACGTGTGCGCAAACCACACAAAGCGTTAATTGAAGCAAACGCACTCGGTTTGTTTTTTCGTTTGTCGTTTGTTTGATCCGGGCGTGAGTGAGTTGGTTGTATATTCAGCATTGTGTATTGTACATTGTGACATTCCATGTTACAGTCTCTTACTCATCGTCATCTTGTATTCTGTATTCACTTGGTTAATCATTCCGTCGGGCAACTAATAACGACCACGCGCTCGACGACCACAAGCGACTGAAAGTGAATCGGGCAAATAAAGGCTTGTTCTGCGTGCGATTATTCAATTAGTCCGCGGCGAATTTAGCGCAATGCGGAGTCAAGTTCAAGTCTGGATGTTTCTAGAAAATATAAATGTATGAGAAAAAACTGTAAGGAGAATGTTTGAACATGTGCTCACCTGTTTGTAGTACATTCACTTTTTGAGGTTAAATGGTAGTTGGGTTGCCTACATTTAGGATGAGTTTATAAAAACTTACAATAATCATGAAAATTCATGAAAAATTCATAAAATTATAATTTTAAAGACTGGTAATTATAAATTAAGACTTTTTAGTATTTTCTACACTTGATAAACATATTTTTCATTGTTTTTGTACAAAATTAAAGCAAAAGATCAAATTTTTAACGTAAAATTGACTAAAAATAAAATAAAATCAAATTTTTAGGTTATTTTTATGTTTTAACACATTTACAACATAAAAGTTGATCGTGCAGCCACAAAACTCGAAAACACAGCTCCGAAATTACCGGCCAGTGTAAAATATCACCGCAAATTGTTCGCGGTAATTAGTTGATGGAAGCAATTTAGCGTGCTGCGCCCGCTGCATTATCGAAGCGTCCTGCATTCGGTGCGTCCTGCGGAATTAAATATAGCCCAGCGTTGTCGTCGTCCTGCGAATGTGCGAGCGTGCAGCGAATCCTGCAACGATGTCAGGCCGGTGACGCCGGTGCATAAAAGCGATAGCGGTGCATCGCGTTATTAAATTAGTTACGGCCTCGGCGAGGATGCGGCCTCTCCGGACAATGATATATCACATGGACTGAAAATGAACAGGATTTCTGTGTGTGCATGCATTAAACACGCGTATAAACATAAATTTGTTTCCGGTAGGCTTCTAGATATTAATTATTAGACACAAATACCACCATTATTTCTGCGCTATCAAACAATGCGACATTTTGAGGTTATATGATGGAACATAACCTGATTTAGTAAAATATTGGACGTGATTTTTATCTTGATTACTTTATGCTGTGGAAATGTTGAGTGTTTTGTTTTAATTATGTTAACTCGTTGTTAATTGCGGTAATTCGTGGCACGCGTTTATTTTTATGACTTGAACTGCGGTAGCAAGCGGAAGGTATAATTAGATTAGGATAAAGTTCATTTTGGGTAAATCACAGATCACAAAAAAATTACATTTTTTAACGTCGGATATCTCAGGAACTAATTATTATATTGACTTAAAATTAGTGGCAAATTAAAGATAATTTAAGTGGGTATAACTGTTAATAATTTGGTTTGTTTAGTATTAAAATAAATTTGATATTTTTTATTTTTTCAAAATTTTCATAATTTATGAACAGAAATTATAACGACTTGTTTGAAAACTTAATTAATGACTAACAGTTCAAACAAAATATAAAATTACTAATTGCGTGTGGTGTAAAATTTAATTAGTTCGCGAGTTATGATGCAAAAATGAAAACATTACGCAACAAACTAAAAAATTACTTTTTCGAACTTCAGACTTAAATTAAGTAATAATTATCATTTGTAAAACAATAATTTTTTATATTGTTATATGCAGAATTTAATTATCTATAATTTGATGCGAAATTTATTCTTTTATCACTTTTTATAATCAAATTATCATCAAAAATATAAAAAATGCAAAAAATTCAAAACATAAATATAAAAATTGCTTTGTTATGCAATTTGCAAATGAATTTCGATTAGTTTTCCCACTTTGAAGGTATAAAGGGCTTCCGAAGAGTCCAAAGGTAATGTACGAGCGTGTGAGCGCAGATAATCGCGTCCTTATCCTTGAATTAATGTTTATTTCAGTAATGCGCGATAATCTGCCCGCGTGGCACGAGCGCAATAAATATCTATGCATGCCGCCGCCGTTGCCGCCGCCGCCGCCATCGTGTGTTTCCACCATGCGCATTTATTCATTTTCTTTTCTATTATTATCCGCGTATATCCATGGGATGCGGATGGACACATTCACACATCGCGCTCGATACGTTCTCGAATGCGCACTAATAAAATTCTATTTCAGTGTAAACAAAACAAAGGTGTGCGCGAATGGAATTCAAAGCGCTAAACAAGAATTGTGCACAATGTGCAAGATAGTCCAACTATAGGGTAGTATTTTATATTTATGATTTACAGGGTGTTATTTTTAAAATTTTGTATGAAAATAGAGAAAAATCAAATATTTGCGAACATTTGAGGGCTTTTTGGGTCTAAAACTTTTAATTTTGGTTTTATGAACAAAAGTTGCTAAAATAATTTGTTTACAATGAAATTATCTATAGGAAGTCATTTAAAATATTTCTCCATTTATTTAATTAATAAAGATATTTGAATTCAAACTTTAAGTTTTCAAGGTTACTTGGAAATAACAAAACTTGCAATATTTTAGTATAACTTGCTAAATTTTTACTTTAATAACAAAAGTTACTAAAATAATTTGTTTACAATGAAATTATCTATAATGAATCACTTAAAACATTATTTTATTTATTCAATTAACAAAGATATTTGAATTCAAACTTTAAATATTCATGGTTACTCGGAAAATGTTCAAAACTTTCAATATTTTAGAATAACTTGCGTAATTTTTATTTTATTGACAAAAGTTACTAAAATAATTTGTTTATAATTAGATTATTTATAAATTATCGTTTGAATTATTTTTCTATCTACAAAATTACCGAAGATATTTGATGAAAAAGTTGATTGTTTCTAGTCTCAGAACTCATTACAATCATAAATTTCAATATTTTTTAAATTGTTTATAATTCGTGCAATTTTAGCGCTAGAAAATAATTTTACTAAAATAATTTGTTTATCATTAAATAATTTATCAAATGATTCATTAAATACGTTTGCAGCTATTAAATTAACAGAGTAATTAGACTGCAAACTTTGAAAACAAAATAATTTTGAAGAAAAAATAAATTCTTAAATATTTAAACATATTTTAACGGTAATTTAACCTTTTCAAAACATTTTAAGTAAAATTAAACGCTTCCCCTTAAAATTATCTACAAATCAACCCTTAAATCACACTCCTCAGATAATAAACACCACAGTTATTCACAACTAAAACAAAATATTCATATTTTTACACTTTTGAAGCTCTCAATCAACTTTTCCAACTTACTGCGGATTACCTTGTATGCAAAAATACTAATACATCCTCATTTGCATGCCCAAAGTGATTCGCCATTGATGTGTGTCCACAGCGGGCGCTGAACAATTAGTGTAATCGAGTGTGACGCGCGCCGTTGCGTCCATCCGACTGTGAGAGCCAACCTTTGATCATCGTCGACGTCTCTGCACGACGCGGCCGAAGATATGAATACATTTCATACGACCGCACCAATACACTAATACACACACGCCGGTATCGTGCATTGGTGTAGTGTGTGGATTTGCATGCGGCGTGGCGCTTATGTGCCTCATGTGGGTTTAATGTCTAAGCATGCATAACCGAAACTTTGCCCTCGAATTGAACTCGAGCAGCGCGCTGCGCACCGGGATGACAACAGAGTGGGGGTGTAATGCCCTAGCGAACAAATCTATAACCAGCTATATATCAGTATATCTCTTAAAATCAATAATTTTAATGCGCGATGAATGAAGATATAGGTTAATCAAATCAGTTAACCTCAAATTTTAGCAGATTTAGGAAAAAAATAAAATTTGTTGTTGTTTTCGTGTTTTTTCTTCAAATTTGATAAAATTATCAAGTAAAATATGCAGTGTGACGTCACATACACAAGATGGAGCAATGATTTTGTCTTAAAAACATTTTTTCTTAAATTTATGAAGATAAAACAAAGTTGTGTTAGTTAAAACACTTATAACTCAAGAACGACTCGACAGATTTTGATGATCAATGATTTATTGGATTCATCTCCGTCCAAAATAGCAGAATAACTATTAAGATATAAAAAATTGTGATATACAGGGTGTTTAAAATAGGATGAAAGTTAATATACAGATTTTATGATGTTTATAGTTAAAGAATTGAATTCCAGATGGCGCTAATGTGCAATATCACCATTTCTCGTTACTTTAAAATTAAATTAAAGTTTTTTCTCCAAAAATTCAAAGAAAAAATAATAAAATCTAAAAATACCGTGCAAATACCAAATTCTATATATTTATGTATTATTTATATTTGCCTGGAATCAACAATTATTACAATTAACTGATAGAGATAAGTTATCAATGCGTCAACTGTTGATTCAGATCAAGCCGACGCGAATTTCGGCTGTGTTGGTGCACAATGTGTAACCTGCACGTATCTACGAGTACTTTACACGTACTGATGAGTGTTGTATTTATTTACACGACTCTCTGCGCGTGTGTGCGTTTGAGGTGTACAAATATTTATCGACCGATCGACCGACCGGTCAATGTCAATCGAGCGATAGACTCGCGCGGAGGCGATAGAAAATCAATAAAAAAAACCTATTTAACAATTTGTGCAGTGTGCGTAGTGTTTATCTGTAATTATCTGCAATTCTGCATGTTGTACTCGACGTCTAATTGAGTAAATGGTTTCGCGTGACTTTTAAGGAGGGAATTTAATCATGTTGTGAAGAATTTTAGGAAATTTGAGTTTGGGGAGTTAATTTTGGTTTTGAGAAAAAAGTTATTAAAATAATTTGTTGTAAATTTAATTATTTATATAATAACATTGGGAATGTTTTGATTTTTGGTGAATTACAAAAGTTATTTGTAATAATGTAAAATTTTCTTTAAATTTTAATTTTTTTTAAGTTTTATTGATTTTTTTGTGCCTGGAACAAACAATTTTGATTTTATAAACAAAAGTTGCTAAAATAATTTATTTATAATGAAATTATCTATAAAGAATCATTTAAAATATTTTTCTATTTATTCAATTAACAGAGATATTTGAATTCAAACTTTAAGTCTTCATGGTTACTCGGAAAATGTACAAAACTTTCAATATTTTAGTATAACTTGCGCAATTTTTATTTTATTGACAAAAGTTACTAAAATAATTTGTTTATAATTATATTATCTATAAATTATCGTTTAAAATATCTTTCTATCTATAAAATTACCGAAGATATTTGAGGTAAAAGTCAATTGCCTTTAGTCACAGAACTCATAACTATCATAAATATCAATATTTTTTAAATTGTTTATAATATGTGCAATTTTAGCGCTAGAAAATAAATTTACTAAAATAATTTATTGATCATTAAATAATCTTTAAAATTATACATTAAATACTTTTACAGCTATCAAATTAACAGAGTAATTAAACTGCAAAAATTAAAAAACAAAATAATTTTGAAGAAAAAAAATTTCTCAAATATAAACTTAATTAAACGGTTTATTAAATCAATAATTTTGTTGTTATTTTATAAATTATAAGATTTTAAACATAAGCATACTCACTGTATGTAATAAACATCCCCTACGTCAATTTATCACATTCAAAATTTGTTAATTTGATTGTCTGATCCTTTGATCCATCAAGAATTGCAGCAAAAAAAACTGAAATAAAACGGATTCGTGAAATAAAGCTGCGGATGATACCCTCGTTCGGACAGGTTTATCCTATCCTGCAAGCGCGCCCACACGCACATATTTACCCAAGCAGGACTGCTCGCTTCGCGTCGTCCATCCGCCTGATGAGTTTAAAAGCGCTGGAATGCGTAAAACGCAGCAGCCGAACCTAGCAACAGTCCTGCGCGCAGCAAGTCCGAAAGGATAAGAAATAAGGAGTGTAAGAATATTACCTCTATGCATGCATGTGTGTGGATTCAGGAGTGGAATGAAGTGGAGCCTGTCGAGAATACAATAACCTTGCGGGGCGCACGAGCGCGTGTCATACAAGGTAGTAAAAAGTTCGTCTTGCGCACGGACTAATTGATTCGTGTCCGAGGGCGATTTCGTGATGAGGCGACACATGTGAACCAGGATGAGGACGCAAACATAAAACAGGGCTAAAGTTTATTTTTACGTCGTCATAAAAAACACAGGAAAAAACATCGAAAAGTTTTCCACAACAATTAATTTTTTATTTTTATTTTTTTTATTAAAATAGAAATAAAAGTTTAATGTAACATCCTGTATGAATATATCTACGGGTATCTACGTAATGTATTCTTCTTGTATGTACGTTGTACGTATACTTCGTTTTGTCGCCATTGCCACGACGAAGAAATAAAACATAGAGATAAGAATGCGTCCGCGCTGGAAATAAAAATTTGATTCATGTCAACGACCATGATGAAGACATCGGCGTGTACGAGAGGCGACACTGGAGGCGACGCAGAAGCTGCTTTGCCAATAAAACATTTCCACTCGTTTTTCTTTGCGCCGCTGGTTCGTCTCGGGAGACACTGCAGCACGGCGACGCATTCAATTTCATTCATACATATTTATATGTAAGTATTTTGTTGTACAGGTACTGAGCATGCGCGGTTTTCATTCATTTGTAGGTTATGTAAGTATTTACGAATTAAAATTGCTTTTTGACTTGTTTGTAGTATTTTTTGAGTTAATTTTTATTTTTAGGAGAAAAATGATGGAGATATATATTTGGAATTAAATTATCTAAGTAAATGTTTTTATTTTATGCTATTATCTTGTAAATTGCCGGAGATATAAGCAAAAATGTATGGTGGTAAATTTTTTGTCAATTTTTTTGTCATTCGAACGTAATATTTGGTAATTTTGCGTCTAGATCGGTTAATATTAATGTTACAAAGGAAAGTAACTAAAATAATTTGTTCGTAATCAAATTGTTTATCAAAATACGTTTAAACTATTTTCTTATTACGTAAATTACGCGATTTATAAGCATAAAAATGTAGGGTTGTCTATTTTTTCTCAGTTTTCAATGTTCCAATATGATTTTTTCATTATTTTTATTTTAAACTCGGTAAATTTTGATTATATGATCAAAAGTTATTAAAATAAGTTGTTCACAATTAAATTATCTATACAATTCCCTTTTTATTATTTTGTTATCTTAAAAATTATAAGATATACAGACAAAAATGCGACGCGTTCTTTTATTTCCCAATTTTCATGTTTTACTTGCTATTTTTGTGTTTTGATCGTGTAATTTTGATTTTACGAAGAAAAGTTATTTAAATAATTTGTTCGCAATTCGGTTATCTACCAAGAAATGTTTAAACTATTTGCTTATCATATAAATTACGTGAAATATAAGCAAAAATGTGTAGTTGTCACTTACTCGCATTGTTTGCAACCTTTCTATGCGATTTTTTAAGTATTTTTGATTTTGAGGCTGTAAATTTTCATTTTATACACAAAAGTTACTAAAATAATTTATCCACAATTAAATTATCTACCCAAAAATGTTTGAATCATTTTTTCCCTTAAAAATTACCAAAGTTACACGCAAAAAGGCAATCATATTTTTATCAGTTTTAAATTGTGTTTTTCTTCCTATTTTTGAGTTTAGTATAGTAAATTAAGTCTTTATAAACAAAATAATTTATTCCTAGATAAACAATCAATCAAACAACATTTTAATAACACCGATTTATTTTAAAATGCAATTTTTCCCGGATGAAACAATTTTCTGAAGATTTCCCTAACTCACAGGTATTCCGCCGCCGAAGAAAGTAGAAATCCTGAAAAGTCCCAGCTAACAACCCTTCGGGCGATGACGGCAGCGCGTAAATCCTTTCGGCGATCGATAGACGCCTCTTTCGCGCACACGGCGCCCCGAGGATACCCACTCGCGGCTAGCACCGCCGGCGGCGGATGAATATGTTAGATATGCGGTCTGGAAATGTGTTTACTGATGGACTCGCGCGCGCGAACGGATGCGAGAGCTTTCGCGTACAATTGATTCCGAATTCGCTGTGCCAACTGCCGGCGCGGGGCGATAGTCGCCGTGGGAAAGTCCGAAAGTCCTTTATTGATCACTCGTTGACTGAAAGTTAAGCTGAAGAGCTCACGATATTGACCCGTAAATTTATCACATGCACATCGAAACACAAAAATATATTAAAAAAAATTACACATGGGTTCAAGGGCGACGCGACACTCTGTAATCAGCTGACATAAAAAAAAAAGTTTAAATTACGAGCAACAAGCTAAAAATACACACGACAAATAATTCTTACCTTGAATGAATGCAGAATAAGCTAAAAACATTTTTAGTTTTTTTTTTTATAAAAAAAACTTTTTAACAAAGAAATTTTTTGGTAATTTTTAATGTATTTTTCATTTTCTCTTTTTTACTTTATACTATGCAGTATATATATACAACAACACAATAAAACATAAATTATATTATTATTCATACGCGATTCAAAGGATAGGAGATTTCTTTCTCTCTGGGTAAGGTAGGTTAGATCGATGGTGGTGTGTGTTGTGTGTGTGGTCGTGAACTGGCGTACATCCTAATCATAATCATGGATATCGCACACACCTTTCACATAATATTCACATTATTCAGATATCCTGCCTGCGAACTCTACAATCGCTCGCTGGGCGCACAAATCATCTCAATACATAATTCAAACTCGAAAATAAAAATATATAAAAATGTCATTCAATCAACATTTTTATATAATTTTGTTTCTACAACTTCTGGACATGATTGTACATCGTGTATGCATGTGGCTGTGTGATAAAAATTGCACTAGAGTTACATAATGCTGAGATTTTCGAGATTTTCAGTTGTACTCACTTAACTAGGACGCTCACATCAAATAAAATCTAATAAAACAAGTGTGTGTATATAAATAACATGGCTAACAATATTAACAGCTTTAAAACGTAATCGTGTTTCGCGCCGGATCAAATATACATATAATGATAATACAATAGACAAGTGTTGCAGGTAATAGATCGCTAGATCACTAGAAAACCAACAAACAAAACGTAAAACGTAAAAACACATATATACAGTGTGTTTGAGACACAAATCGCGTGTACGGGTCCGAAAATTGATTGCATCTTGTTTTTTATTTATGCACGCGAGCGCTTAAAATTTCTAAATAATTTTTGATGATTCACATTGCACATACGTTTCCATTTCTTTAGGTGTGTTTTTTTTATGTAAGTGTGTGTGTAGGTGTGAGAGTGTATTCGGTAATTGCCTAATTAATCGCAGATCATTATTACATCATTTTACACTTTGACAATCGTGTTGCAGCTCGCAGGAGAGACGAGAAGTTGGCCTCCTCCTCCTAGCTCTATCGACTTAAAAAAGGAAATTTCATATATAACTATATAGCACGATCCATCTTAATGAACAATTATATCCTAATTTTAAATTAAAAATTACTTTTAATCGCACCCGCATCATCATCATCATCATATTTTTTTTTTGCATTTTTCATTTTAAATCTTTTTAAATTCAAAAACAGTGAAGCTCATGTTTGTTTATGTTTACAATATTATCATCATTACATCATTATCGGTTTTCCTTGTTGCTTTCGACACGCATACGTTGCATGTGTGTCCAAAAGTCAGCAGCGCACGGCGAAAGGTAAGATAACATTTCATTTTTGCGTTCAGGGAGGTTTCAAAATTTAAGTATAAGAAGAATCTTACAAGAGATTGTTGCTGGAGTGGCTGGTTTGTTTCCTAGCTGCGCGCCAGTAGGTAAATGGTAATATCTCGTTTCTTGTGTTATTCGTGTGTGCTTCTTGCGCAATCAGCATTATATAGTGTGGTTACCTTGGAAAGTTATCACTTAAAATATTCGAATAAATCAATTCGGTGAGTGGTATCGGTCGCGTATGCCTATAATTCGAGGACATTTCGAGTTTATTTTTATTTCTATGTTTTCTTGAGGCAAAAATATGCAGATCACGCAAGATGTGTGTTTGTGTTTTTGTGTGTTTCAGCCCGGAAATAGGGTCGTACTCGTCGAACGCTGCACTCGCAGAGGAATAAATGTAATTCATTGAATCGTTAATTAGTTGATAATATAAAGGTGATGCGTATTAACTCTATAATTACAGATGCTGCACTCCCCGCGTCCACATCTCCCTCCGGCCGCCCGCGCTCATCCTCATAGAATTATGTTATCAATATGTACTTACTTAAAATTATTACACTTTTCATTTGAGACTAGAGATTGTGTGTGTGCAGAGCAGTTGACCGACCGTTGCACAGCGTTCGTTTGTTGTTGATGTTGTTGATGTTGTTGTTGTTGGGTTGGTTTTTTTTTGGTGGCGACGGCGTCCTGGTAGGAGGAGACAGCAAGGCTACTTACACACAATGACACACTTGGGCGCGCTTGTGCACCCGCTTAGAACTCGGCGAACTCCTTGGCGCACTTCTCCGTCGACGAGATGCGCAGCACCTCCTCCTCGTAGTCGTCGAAGTTGGAGGTGTCGCCGGGGCCCTTGCAGCGCGGTATGAACGGCGCCTCGATCTTCTTCTGGAAGATGGCGATCCAGTCGGTGGAGGCGAACCACTTGTGGCCCTTGATGTCGTTGACGCCGGCCTTGAGATTGCCGTAGCGTTTGGTGAGGTCGACCTGCAGCAGGTTGCGCAGTAGGTCCTTGAGGTCGGAGCCGAAGTGCGACGGGAAGCGCACCTTGCCCGAGACGATCTTCTCGTAGATCTGGATGGGTTGATCAGCGAAGAATGGCGGATAGCCAGCGGCCATTTCATAGACGAGCACACCGAGCGCCCACCAGTCGACTGCCTTGTTGTAACCCTTGCTGAGGATGATCTCAGGTGCGAGGTACTCCGGCGTGCCGCACAACGTCCAGGTGCGGCCTTTGACGCGCTTCGCAAAGCCAAAGTCGGTCACCTTGAGGTAGCCCTGCGAGTCGATGAGCAGGTTCTCCGGCTTGAGGTCGCGATAGATCAGGTCCAGGTAATGCAGGTACTCGAAGGCGAGTACAATTTGCGCGGCATAGAAGCGCGAGTGCGGCTCGGAGAAACGGCCCACCTTTCGGAGGTGCGAGAACATCTCGCCGCCGGGCACGTATTCCAGCACCATGTACAGGTTGGAATTGTCTTTGAAATGGAACCGGAGGCTGACGAGGAACGGGAAGCTGATCGCCTGCAGGATGCGCTTCTCGTTGAGCGTGTGCTCCACCTGCTTCAGCTTCACAACCTTCTGCTTGTCGAGAATTTTCATCGCGTAGTACTCCTTGGTGGGCTTGTGCTGGACGATCATCACGCGCCCGAATGAGCCCGTACCGAGTGTCTTGATGCGGTCAAAGTCGTCGAGGCTGGCGGTGTTGGTCGGGTTCTTCTTCCATTTCTCCTCGAAGTCTTCCTTTGCCTGATCCAAGAATTCCTTGACGCTCTCGGCGGCGTCCACCTTCTTGTTGGCCGTCGCCGCATTGTTGCCCATGTTGACGAGGGGCCACGCACTTCACGCACGCACTCCTGGTGCTAGAGTCCACCTCCCTCCTGCTCCTGGTGATCACCGAGTCCTGCCGCTGCAAGGGCTGCAAGCACTCCGCGCGCTGTGCCTACTGTCCTGTGTCAACACTCGCGCATCGCCGCCGACATCTTGCAGTCCTGCGGTCGTCGTCGGGCGCACCGATTACGTTCGCCTCCGGCTCGATAATCGCGCACTCAGCGATGCCGTGGCCGAGAGGAAGTCGTTAATCCACGTAGATGGCACGCACAGAACACAGCACAGGCTAGGCGGATGACACGAGAAAATGGCTTCCAGGTGCCCAGATTTTCATTTCGTTTTGTACCGACCGACAGATCGAGATCGTACGCGGACTGGCCGAGCGGCAGCACAAACAGTCGAGGAGAGCAGCAGTCGCTGCGGCGATCGCCACGCAGCCGATCGAAGAACCCTTTCGCATTCGCGGGTGCTGCCATCCTTTACAACCGATGACGACCCATGCAAGAACTTTGCAGAGGGCGCCACCTCCCGGCCCGCTACACTACATCACGCAGGTATATTTAACAGAAAAAGTCTCTTAAAACATTAATAAACAATAAAAACAAACAATGAAAAATTTTATACTTAATACACAATTGTTATTTTAACTTTAGTTCAATTTAAATTATTATAAGCAACGAAATAAACCAATGATAAACTATCTTACGCCAGTACAGATTTCATGTGTACTAACAGCGTTTCACATAAAGATGGCGCTGCATGCGCACCAATTTAGAAGTCATTAATTTATTCCTCAACCCGAGTTCAAATCTATAAATTACTCCGCAATGAAAACAACCAGTAAACGTACAATGCACCACTCGCACTAAATCGTTAAAATCTATTATGTAATTGTAGGAATGATACTAATTAATCAATGTTGCACCGAAACCTTGTTATGCTAATCAATATTTAGACAATGTATTCATTTGTTTCATTTCGAGTTAAATATTAAGCAATCATCATAATTAAATACTCATATGACCTGTATTAGTAGTATTTGTACTATAGTAATAACACAAATGCGTTTTTGTTGATTTTTTTACTAAGAATTGTGTCATTATGATTAGATTAAGTTTTTTTGGGAAGATTATGTAGTAGATGGCAGCACAAACCGGGCAAAACGGTGCAAACGGTGCAAGAGAGCGGAAGAAGCGAAAGATTTATGCATCAGGTGCCCGTGCCGCTCCAGCCAACAACGTAAACTCGATCACCAGCAAGCATGTAATTCAAATAGAAAATTCCACGAAGTGAAACTATTGCGGGATGTGCGGGTTGTAGCGGTTGTAGACGCCGGTTGGCATACGAAATGCGCATGCGCATATACAATACGCTTGCTTACGGACGCGCACGACCCGTCGCTGTACGCGAGCGGAAGTCGCCGAAGCAACCGCCATCATGACCGCACAACCAATCAGCGTGCAGCGTTCTGGCGTCGTCTCGGTCGCTCGCGTTTCTCTTTCATTTTGAGTGCTGTTTTCGTTGGCGTGCGTTCGTTACACCGCTTCTCGCAGTTCTTTGTACATTTCACCGGCCGAAAAAACCCAAAACATCAACAGCAATGGCAGATAAGATCGTCGAACAACCGTGAGTATTGAATTCCTGCAAAAAACCGCCGAGTTTTGCGCCCTTTCGAGCGCAAATCGTGATGATATTGTTTTGGCGGCCGGGGCGCAAACATGGCGTTGGGCAAGCGGCGCGCGCGAAAAAGCCGGCAAGCGCGTACGCGGCGAGGCCTTGAGCCCCGCGATGCGTTTCGCGTCGATATCGCGCCGCTATCGACCATTCCCGGCTCACTTGCGTACACTCTGGCAATAATTTTTTTTCGTGCATTTGAGATGCGTGCATTGCTTCCGCTGCCTTCGCGCAATTAGCGGCAAAGACCCGGCGTGACCCGTTACTTTGTACTTCCTCGTTCGCCTCCTACAATTCTTCGCGAGCACATGAACGTGAAACGCGTGCAATCAAGATAACTGACTAGCTGGAGTGTGACCACGCTCTGCATTGCTTCACAATACATAACAAACTCTCTCACAAGTTTCTTAACTATTCATTCAAGTCAAATAGTGCTGAAATTTTTAAAAATTTCTTAAATTTAAGTAAAAATCTACAAAATTTCAAGCAAAAATTATAAATTTTTATTTTATGTATTGCAGTGAAGTAGCAGTTGAGGAAGTCGAAAAAGACCTGAAGGAAAAGAAGGTCGAGGAGGTCGTAGACGCTGAGGAGAAGGCCGAAGACGCCGAGGAAGAAGAAGAGGCGAAGGAGAACGGCGCCGAGAAAGAGACAAATGGCAAGGAAGCCACCAACGGCGACAGCACACCCGCAGCTGGTTTGTATTCATATTCACTCCCATCATTCTATCCAAATGTACAACTTTTCCATTCAATAATTTGTGAATCTATGAAACACGTAACAAACGAACATTCATTGAAACCTTTTAGCTGACACTTGAAGACAGGTAACTAAGGTGATATTCCAGACCAACCTTGTATGTACGAATTATTGCTTCACTTTATTCCAAGTCTTGTTTTGTTGTTAGCCTTACGAAGCTTTTTCCAGCTTAATTTATTCTTTGATAACACACAGGAAGCCTTTGTATTATCACTTTCTATTTAACTTAACTCATAGAGCTTGAAAAATGAAACGAAAAAGTGCTGTGTAAGCATATTTATTATGCTTCACATGTTACATTACCCAATTAGAGTTTTTTTTTATATAAATTTTAACTTCGTTCAGAATAAGTTGCGTTATTTTTTTGGACAATTTCAAGGCTGTGCTTGATTGTAATGTTTGTGCAATGTTGTTCTAGACGAGGAGGAGCAAGACAAGTGCTGCATAAAGAGGAAATCCACCGGCGGTGAGACGGAGGAAGCGAAAGCCGACGAGGTGATTCCCGAAAAGAAGGCCAAATTGGATGAGGACGTGCCCGCGGAAGCAGAGTCCAACGGCGCTGAGGTCGCCGCTTAGACGAGGCGCGTCTCTTTCCACATTCGCCGTCACCCCAAGTCCGCATTTTAACCACCGTCGCCACACGCCGCATATTACAGAGACTAAACAACAGCCGAACATATTTATATCACAATCCTTCCTATGACTAATTTACTATTACACCCTCCGTACCACACGATTCGTAAATTGATCATTCGCGCGTGACACGACGTTCTTTTAAAGTTTAGATATCAGCTGATAAGTTGAGAGTGAGAAGACGCAGAAAGTAAACTATTATTTTTTAGGAAATTGCATTTAATTTTAGTCGCACTTACATAATTTAACGTTTAACATTCCTATACATACGCTGCGTGTAAACATTTGGTTTAATTAACGAATGCCGCAAACGAGAATCGACGCAAGACTCGAATAATAACCTAAACTAACCACTATACGACTACTTGGTGCGTTTGTACTTAATTGCTACTGGAATTTTTTTACTTAATGTTTAGTATTGTTAATGTACGCAACGGAAATTCTTGCTTTTTGGTATTATTTGTAATAAGTTTAATTTAATTTTATATACACGATAAATTATTGCGTTTGCGAGCCGGACCGAAAATATGACACGAGAGTTATTTAGTGGAAACCGTATATTGTACAGTTGGTATTAATTTTTTTTGGAATTAACCCGCGACGCGACGAAAATGAATTTTGAATGCATTGTTACGAACCGAGTCGGAATCTCATATCCTCTCTCACATACACACGACACGCGTTGATTCACACGAAAACAATATTTATGACAAGAAATTGTATTACCTAGACTTAAAACGAATGAAAGCTCTGCCATTGCCACGAGAGTTGTAAAACACATTCACACACACATACACACAGAAAAAGAGCGAATTTTATGTGTTCATATATCATTACCTATCTTATGTTGATGCTAATATCACCAACAGCTGCAAATAAACAATACTTGCGAGAGCAGTTGATCCGTAAAGTGAAGATGAGTGTGGATCACTTTAGTTTTAACCACCTGTAACTGTACTGATTTGTAGTTTTGACCGAATGTGTGTGATGTGAAGGTGAAGCGCAGTATTATGATGTGAATTTTAATCAAATAGTTGACATGTTTGATCTAACAGTATATATATATCAAAGTGTATTAATAGCGCATTGAGTAAAGTTTAATGTATGTATTCAAGTTTGACGCTTAGTGGCTAACTGGACGAATTGGTACAAATTGCAAACAAATGTGACTAAGATTTACAAAAAACAAACAAACAATACACGTGTACTTATATTGGTATGGCAATAAAGAGTTTAGTTTCCGGACATTTTTTGCTGTGGACACGAATTATTTCATCATTATTCGTGTTAAAAAATATGTATAACACCCAAATTGGTTAGTGGTGTTGTTGGTTGCCTATATTAAGAGGTTGAGATCAACGGTTAAGTGTAGCATAACCTGTTGTAGTTGTGTAGTGGTAAAATTTTATTATCTCCGTCAATTTACAAGTTAATAAATAATGGTAAGTTGTTACTATTAGTCAAGATCTTTCTGCACGTTCTTCCACTTCTCAACTAATTGCGAAACGCCTTTCTTTTTCATTGAAATGCCTTGCGACATTTTAACTTTTCGTTTCTTTTTCACTGGTTCTGCGCTGGGGTTATCTTTAACCTCTTTTACTTCTGAAATTGTTGCTTTCGCGGGGGTAAACTCTGTGCAGGTATTTCCGGCGTTTTCGGTTTCGATGCATCTTTAACTTCTTGTTGCTCTGCTTCGGTTTCAATCGCAGCAATATGCGAATAAAACGAATCTAGTTCCGAGCTCAGCGCTTGAGCATCATGTCTCTGAAAAATATCAACCAATCAGCGCGCGGTATTTTTATGATGGCCGACTTTGCTACATTTTTAAGCAAAATCCCTAAAAAAAGTAACAATTTTGTGCAAGTCACCTTGGAAGCATCATCTTTGTGAGTTTCATCCGTAGCAGACGCGCAGATAGTTGTAACTTCAATATTAGACCCATCTGATTGAGCGTCCATCGGTGGCGGTGTCGTGCAAATATCCATTGCGTCGTCGTCATCATCCGCTACTTTACCGACATTTTGGTCGCCATTTAATTCAACCACTTCCTCTGTTGGTTTAGACGGCTGCGGATACTCCCACTGGCACGCGTCTGAAGACTTGTTGCGGTAGAAATAACGCTTCTCCTGCCTAAAACACCCAGCGGGAAAAGAAATACACAGTGTTAGTACCCAGGAAGCTGATGGTGCGCTCGCATGTGAATCAAAAACCGGTGAGTAACTTTAAATCGCAATAACACGATTGATTTGAATAAGTTCTTAGCGTAGAGAATCATTTGCATTGTTAATCGTGACATGGGCATTAACAATGCAGATGAGATTATACGTTACCTATTTGTCGAGTTAAACAATTTGAATTTCGGTTTGAATAATTTGAATAAGATTTGAACAAATGAAAAACAACAAAACGGGGCAATTGCTGTTGTAATTGAATACAATGACAATTTTGTGTGGGTTAAAATGATGATTGAAGAGTAGAAACGTCGCCACACATGGGAATTGAACCTAGAGCATAGAAAAACATGTTATTTTATGTCACATTCAACACAAATCACAAGTAAAACAACATAATTTATAAGAATTATAAATATTATTACTGTTGAAAGAGTCGAAAGCACAAACCTGCATTCAAATCTGAAATACAACCGTTTTAACAATACAATAACAACAAATTATCACTGTGTTTTTTTTAAACAAATCAGTCTTTATTTATCGATTAAAGCTTCCGTGACTTTTTAAGATCATTGAAATGATTTAAAATAGAGATTTACTACATAATAAAGTAAAAAAAGGTTACAAGTGTCCTTACCTTAAATAAAAAGAAGGTAAAGATGACCATCCTGGGCCACATCTAACATCGCAATACAATTCTCGAAAACTCGATACAATTTGGCGCTGTTTATAAGTGATTAACAAATTTAAAACACAAGAGGGTCATAGGTTAACAGGTTAATTCACTTGATGAAGAATTTATGACAAGGAAAGGCGGGTTTTTATGATTTTTATGAATTTTATGTTTGGAAGAGAGGATGGAGATTAGCAAAAAGTAAATAATAAGTTTATACCTATCCCATTCCAAATTCCAGCCTTCGGGCGTCGCGTCTTCTTCCAATTTTATAAGATTACTGCTCACATCTTTGATCCACGATGAAAAATACGCGGTGTTTAAATATCCGGACTTCCAAGCAATGAATAATATCTAATTAAAGTGTTAGATATTAAAAATTATAAGTTTAAGTATAAAATTTAAGTGTAATTTACCTCTAGTTGAATTGACATGATTTGTACAGGACTAATAGCATCTTTGCCTTCACACAAGAAAGCTAACTTTTCTTTTAGTGTCGTTTGTGTTGCGACCATATCACTATCATTTGATTCTTCATCATTTGAGTTTGAAGAAATAGTCGGTTGTAATGTATCGCCCTGTATGAAGTTCATACTAAATTTCTTCTTTAAACTCTCAGCATTTGATGTTTCTGTGGAGTCATTCTTTGTTTCTATAATAACTTCTCGTTTTGGATGGTTGACTAGATGCACGCCAATGCGTCGTTTTCTTTTGAACGCTTTCACATCAATCTCTTCGGTTTCTTGCGGTAATTCTTTATCGTTTGTTTCCTGTGTGAATTGTTTCACGTCGATTGGTTTGGTGACAGGAAACAGTGTGCTGTGTGCTTCACTTTGAGGTGTTTTAGGCGCGTCTTGTGACTCATCATGAGAATCTTCTTCTTCTTCGTCTGAGTAATTACCGTAGTTTGCGAGTAGAGAGAAACCTAAGGTTGGTTTTACTTCGTCTACGGTTTCAGCGTCGCTGTTTGCTCGACTTGAATGAAACGGTGAATTCTAAAATGTCATTTTTTAGTAAATATGATTAATGGTATATGATTTAATGGTTTAGTTAAATTGAGCTTCAGCAACTGTTCATTCTCAACATTTGTTGTTTAAAGAAACACAAAATGGAGAACTCTAACAGCAATTTCATCATAAGCTCACTTAAAAATTTAAGTTCAGATTGAAAACTTTGAGAATCAACACATTAATGTTTATATTAATGTTCAATGCAATATTAGTCATCATTTACAACAAAATTTCAACAAAAATTTGGAAAAGATAATGAATACTTACTGTATTTGATCCATTTCTGCTTAGTGAATTAGCTTCCCTGCTATCATGATCACTATCCACTGAATAAGCTGATAACAAACTAATTTTTCTACAAACAAAAATTATTACTGAAATATCATGAATCACGATTGATTATAACAACTTACTTGACATCATGACTTGAACTACTGCATTTAGAGGCAGTAATTGTTTTAGTCTCTCCTGCAGATTGAGATGATTTAGTCACAGATGGAAATAAAGGTCCCTTTGAATTACTATCTGTACTTTCATGCTGAGTAGTTTTTGAGACTTTAGTCTTATCCAGCCATGCTTGATATTCTGGAGGCATTTCCCATGTGACTACATTTGTGTGCATGTTCCAATAGTATGGATAGCCAGAAGTATCATCAAAACATTCTTGCCACACTATAATATTCAAAGTTTAAGTAATAACTGGTAATTGTGGTAATAAAACATCTTACCACATTCACTTGTGCTTCTGACTTTGGTAACAGGCGGTACAATTTCGTTGATTTCGTTGAAGAAATCGTTTACTCTTGCATCCATTGTTGTAATATAAATAGGTAACTAACAAGTGATTAAGTTAATAGTAAAATTGTTGAATAATGCGTTGAATTGACGAAGTAATCACAAGTTATATTCAGCAATATTTTTGAGAAGAATCAACTTATCAACTAACCTCAAACGAATGAAAATGAAACGAAGTTTCGTGACATTACCAGCGGTGTAGTAAGATTTAACTAAAATTAGGTTTAATTTATTAAATACATTATACTATATCAAGATAACAGTTGATTTAAAGTTTAATCGCGTGAAATTAAACTTTTTTGCTTACCTTTCTTTAGAAATCAGTAATATTTAGTCTATTTTTACTTAAAATTAATTTAGTGCAACTCTGTTGAATTCTAACCATATTGTCAACCTAAAAACTACGTTCAAATCGTTGATCTAAAGTCAGAAGTAAAAATTACATTTAGATAAGTTTCCAATCATTTTTTACAATCATGGCAACTGGTAACTTACGCAGAGAGGTATGTGATACAATATATTTAGAAAATAGAGTTTTTTATTGAGATGTTTCTTCTTGTAAGGTTCTAAATAGCTTTAAAGCACTGCACAAAACCAGATTGAAGGTATTTGATGGTGATATGAGAGCACTAAACTTCGCACGTGAGAAAATCAATGAAAGTTATAAGAACAACAAGAATATCACAGAAGAAAATATTATTACAGAGGTAAAAATGTTACTTGTTTGTGACAACCTATGAAATTCATGTTTATTTGCTAATCTTTTAGCAATTAGCTCTTGCTAAAGCAGTAGAAGTTGAAATGAGAACTACAATTGTACAAGCAAAAGAAGTCAAACCAGGTGTTTATGGTAAGCAAGTAATATAATTATCATGAATCATAGAATTAAAGTGGTTGACTAATTTGTAGAGGCTAAATTCAATCCTGAGACTGTAAAAATGGACAATATTCCATTTAATGACAGTGAAACAGAAATTGAATTTACCACCAAAAGAAAAGGCAATAAGGTTGAGATAACTAAGAAAAATGTTGGATGTTGTCAGCAACAGGGACAATCAACTTGAATCTTAATTAATATCATAGACTTTGCTTTAGTGTCTTAGCAAATAGCAAATTACAGTAAGTAGAACAGAATTTTTAACTTCTACATTATTTCTAGTCAAGATCTTGTTTTGTATATTAATAAAAATGAAAAGACAACTCCATGAACAAAATTTAACGAATTTCTGTTTTTTTTATTAACAAATAGCGTTTGTTTTTCTATAATTCAATGTAAAATTATTATTAACGCTTGGTTAATCATTTGCATGAATAAAATTGTTGGTAATTTGCCAGATTATCCACACTCGTGCGAAACAAAATGTTTGACAACATTACAACTTGGCGACATACTCGAATAATCGCAATATTTATAAACATTAAAAACCCACCCAACGTTTTATTCTCGTTATCGTAACAATTGTATAATATTTACATAAACATTTTAATGGTAAATGTAAAGGTACACACATGTACTGTGTACCTATACATAAAAATTTAATATTCGCCTAGGATCGTTGAAATTCATGCGGCAGCCTTTAAGCTCTGTTGATAACTGCAACACATGAAACATAGAAAGCGTTTATTGTGGTTAATGCGTTTAATCTACGCGCGATGTGCGCGAAAAATATGATTAGGTCATTACCGTACGGCGCGGAACAGTTGATACAGCTGCGTGACGGCGACGAACGAATTGACGCTCAATAAACTGTAGTTTTTCGGGATGATAACAACGGAGTAACGCGCCCATATCACACCGGTTGCTGCCAATGCTGCTGTTTGTGGTATACTGATTGAGTCCACAGGTCTTTGTAAATCGCTTATTCCTGCGACAACTAATCCCTAATAAGGAAAAAAAATAGTTTTATGTAAAAAAAGGGTGAAATCTTGCCGTTTTGTTGATATTTTTATGTTTTTAACAACATAAAGACATAACTATGGTGTATATTTACCCATTTGAATATAGGAGCCCAAAAGAAAACTGTTTTTGGTCCTAAAACACACAAAAATCACATAAATTTTATGTTTTCAATTAAAAATGAATGTTTTAATACCTGCAGGATGTTGCCACAGAGGTCGTAGTTTGTTAGGCACGAATTTATCCAAAGCTGCCATGGAATTATGATAAATTGCAGACATTTTTACGTTGTATAATTAATAATAATAATAAAAAAACACAAGGTTTGTTCAGTGTTTAGCGACGGCACGCAATCCGATGTGATCTCTTCAGGTACAAAATGTTACTAACGGTGAACATGCGCGCTAGAAAATGTTCAACTGGTTTTGCGTCGGGCAGTTAGCAGCGTCGGTGATTCGTCACTTGGTCGCTACGTAAGCAACACGCGGTTACCACTGTTACCAGTGTTACCAGTCCAACTATCAACGCACAAGGCCGTTTATTTCCATTCGTTTTCTACGCGATGCTGCGTGCGCGAGAATTGGCTGCGATTACTTGAATGGGTTGAATGGATTGTAATCAATGCATTGTCCATTACGAGATAGTGCGCTCGAGGCGTGATGCTGTGAACTGTAATGCAGTAAGTTGGACTGTTATTACATATTTTGAAAATTTCAAGTTTGGGTTTTTTTTTCTCTTAATGTGGTTTGTGATAATTTAATTGATTGGATGCAAAGTGTATGACTTTATGCATGAATAATTTATGTCATTTCTGCGATGCGAAGGTGAGCACGAACTAGTTTTGAACTTGGAACACGCTTCGATCAGTTGTTTATTATTTAACTTTTTGCGCATGTTATCTTGCCCACACGCGTCAAAATCACCTTAACTGGAATGCACACCTAGAGATTATTGGTTGTTTATTTATAGTATTGAATTGTCTGCAACATTATTCTTTTATTCTTCTATTTTTATTCTTTTATTTAATTATTATAGTATTTTTAATGATTTTTGGCACTAAAAGGTTTTTGGCTTTAATTTTTGGTGTATGTTGGAATTAAATTTACTGATGTCATTTTTGTGACATTATTACGGTTTTGGGCAGGTTTTGTTCAAAGCACTAACGACACTTTAAAACAGATTCTTTTGTTTTGCATTCCCAAAACATTATAAAACATGACTAATCATTTAAAGTGCGTTGGTATAGTGCATTTGCGAATGTTGTGTATTTAATATTTTCTAAGATATTCTAGTTTTACTGGAAGTAGATTTTTGAATTTAGCCGCATTGAAAGTTTCAGCCAATTTTTGAATAAGGAACGTGTGTGTCAACGTAGGCAACACATTATTCCTCATTCAAATGTATAATTTATATACAGCATGTCACATATAAACAAACAGAAGCCACATAAAACACGTGGTTGGGCGTGTGTATTCTTACTTTTCACAATCAGCCTCCGGAAATGCGCGCATTGAAAGCGCATGGCGTGCAAATACCTGTCAGAAATGGCACAGAAACAAGAAATGCTGCTCTTTACCCTTAACTTTTTTGTTTATGTTGGACACTGTGTATATGTCAATGTAAGTAGGGTAGTTTGTTACTATTTCGTCATCACGGAAAAAATCCTGAATCTGGTGCTTTTGCTTAAAGACGCCTTAGTGGCCTTACTTACTTACTCGATTTCAATTATTTAACAATTCTGTGAAATTCATTATAAAATAATTCATTAAACGAGTTGGTTATAGAATGAATGCTTTTCATAAGATTTCTAATAATTTGATATCTGAATTAGACAAATAAAACTGTAGTATTTTGCCCCTTTTTAATTAGTCTTATCTCTTATCTTAAATATTTCATTTTTTTTCAATTTCCCCTTGACTCAAATCTTTTTGAAAAACATTACAAAATTATCTTCACGTGTGGAACAAAATAGTCACAATCTAATATACACCATCAAAGGTTTTTTGTTTTTGATTTTGATATGATATAGACATTTTTGCACGACAATTCTTAGAACGCCGACATTGAGTTAATCATTTAGGTCTAGTTACCGTAATCTTAAATAAACAGATACCCAGATAAACACACAATGAAATACGACATTGATAATTTACAAATTTTATTAATTTATCAACAATTTATTATTATTGTATCAAGTAATTAATAAGACACATTCTGCATATTCGCTTGGAACAGACTTGAAGCTCTCCTAAAAATAAAAATACATTTATTAAAAAATATATATCTTTTAAACCAGATCAAAATTTATGAAAAAAGAAACTTACGACTGATTTCCACTATTATATTCACCATGTGGTCTCGTGTTTACATGCATTAAATTCTCAGCAGTTAGAGAGTTCATTTTATTTAAAGGATTTCGAGGAACCGCAGGATTCTGCGGTCGGAAATCATGTTCCGAAACATTACCAAAAGGAATCCTGGGAGTATTATATTCCGAACGTTGTTGAAAATCTTGTCGTTCAGATTGTAATCTCGGTTGGTAATATTCTGGTTGTCTGGACTGCGGATACTTATTTTGCGTCCGCACCATTTCTTTAATTTTGTACACTTCGTAACAAAGGTGAATTACACCCACAATTAACACAAAACAAACACTACCAAAAACTCCACTTAAAATGTAAATATTTCGTTCTAAATCGTCAACCACAGAAAAATCCTAAAAGTTATTATTTGATATATTCTTAATTTAAAAAATTAAAGTTTTTAATTAAATATTTACCATATTTCGTTGTTTAATGTAATATAAGTATTTAAAGAATTAAATGAGGAAGGTTCGTGATGAAATTTTACTCGAATAGAAAAGTTTTATGTTTTCTAAGAATATATAGCGCAATACAATGGATTAAAACGATTGGAAAATTGGTTTATCTACTAGATAAGAAGCATTTCTAATGTGTAATCCATGGTATAAATTGCACATCGGTGAATCATGAAGAATAAAGTAAAAAACAAACAGTAACTACTTTTTATGGTCATGTGTTAGTGAATTTGATGTGATTGAGATTGAAACGCCAGTTTTATCTATGAAATGTTATCATATTTTCAACTCTAAGGTGTACATTTAATGATACGTAATAACAAATTATTGAAACGTGTTGGTTTTGAGTAATAAATATTTTCGATATGTTTAATATCCCACGTTGTTATTGTATGCCGCGCCGGGATTACCTCTAAAACCAAGATTCAATGATAACAATTTATTACGATCGCGGTTTTTTCCTTACGGTCGTTGCGAAAGTGGGAATGGTCTGTCTACATTAGCTGTGGGCGGCCTGAAGTTGTTCCTGTTGCCAACATGGGGCAGGCTGTGGCCGCCATTGTTCCATTGCGCGTCCTGATGCCTGAGATTGTCGGCGGTCAAGCTCTGTATGCGGGGCATTGGCGCGCTGTATAGGGATGGGTTGCGATTCAGGTCGGGACGTTCACTCTCCACTGGCCCACCCAAGAATGGTGCTGGGCCACCAATTTGGCCTTTGTTGGCTTTAGACCTAAGTTGGTATATCATATGGCCAAAGACAGCGACAATTACCAGCAGGATTGCACACGTCGCACCAAAAACCGCACTCAAAATATAAACGTTTGTTTCGACTGTATCGAGCCGGTCGAGAAAATCTTTGGCTTGCTAAAAAATGAGGATTTTAAATGAGGTTGTAAGTGAATGAGTTTACATACCTGAGCGGACATTTTGTTTGTGGTTGAAAGTTGCACGTTCGCGACTGAATTAAATAACGCCCAAATTGCAAATTTGATTCAGATGAAACACTTGCAAATGTGTGACATGGATTATATACGAACTTTTGGAATTATCAGTTTCTGATAACTGAAAATCCAATTGAAAAAGATGTATATCGTTAAGTACCATATAAGTGAAATTAATTACGACATCGTTTTGTTTCTTAACTTTTGATCGTAGAAATATTTTATTCTATGTACAATATTGAAGAATTTTAAGTGTTTTTAAAAATTGTCGATTTTATATTATATTACTACGACAGTATAAGATGATTAGGAACATAGAATTGGAACTTTGTACTTCAAGGCACATATTTTTATTTGTTTTGGCAAAATTCAATAGAAAAAAGTTGAATAAAGTGAAATCAACTTTGACCCTGCTAAGAATCGGGAAGATTCCTTAAATCATTTCAAAGTTTAGTAGATTTAGTTTGATTTTATTTCTGTTTGCATTAAATTACAGCGGTAGCTGTTGTTTAACAGCGTTTTTTTATACAATTAACAGTTTATTATTTTATAAACTGTAAAATTATATCAATTATACAACACGTTTGCGGAACTAAACATTAACTATTCTGCTTTCTGATAATTTCTTAAAGTTTATATTCATATACTTTTCTACTTCGACCTTTAAAGCGCCAGTTTTTCCATGGTTTTGAAACATAAAAGTGTTTAACAACAACGTTTTAACAATATGTTTAACAATTACATTTATTTGTTAATAATTTATGCATTTAACAATTATTTGATTTTTATAATAATTTTTATAAATATAGAATTTCTAACATTTGTCAACATCGCTTTAAATATCTAAACATCAACCAAATATTGCACATCATCAGAATAATCAGTCATGGTGATAGTGGTTAATCTTCTTGAGAGCTTAAAATATTTACACCACAATACCACACCATATGGAATCAAAATAGTGATGAACAAATAACAGAAATATGACAATGGTGGTGTTGAACCAAAAGGAGCCAACCAATACCCTCTTCTGTAAGCGTCCCTGGTGTGATGTGTGCCAAAGGCCACAAACATAATCAAAGCTATTTTTTCCATATATACATTGTTTGTTGAATGTGCCCATCCTAATAAAACCAGAATAATTGTCAATGGGAGTGTTGACAAATGCAGAAAAGGCCTGTGATTCAAAGAAGTTGCATCCTAAAAAAATGACCATTTAAATTATTATCATGCCAATCAAATCTTCTTTTAAATTGAATTAAAATGGTTTAAATAAAATATACCTGTAAAGATATTGATTTGGCTGCACAAAAGTGATCCATATCAATTAGGGATGCAATTAGGAGACATAATATTGAATCCACAAGTAAATACAAAGTGTTTGTATACTTTATATTCAGAGAGACAATGATCCAACCCAGAAATCCAATTAATGCATGTGTGATATTGTCTGCAAATGCTTTGTACACTGGAGTTCTTACATTTTCGAGAAGATTGTCACCAATGTGTGCTGTAACAATTATTGTTATAATACAAAGTAACTGATAAAAGTACCACATTATTAGCCATTCTCCATTAAATTATGCATCACAATTTTGATAATTTTTGCAAATTAAATCATCCGAACCAATTATTGCAACACATTTAATCAAAATAACCTCCACTGGTCATAAAAACAAGTCTGACCCTGAAATTCCATGTATATTAGGTTGCATATAAACAGAACGCATTTACAGGAATTTGTTATGAAATTTATAAATTCAGGACATTCCCTTGAAAAAAATAATAAATAATTTCGAAATGTTAAGTTATTGTCTGCTTTTTACTGATAAAAGATTAAAAATAATCTTGAAATAAACAAAATAACAAACGTCTGGGCAATATATCGGCCAGAAATGTTTTAAACATTTTTATTCTGATTTTTATTCATTCATTAATTAATTAACAATATAATCATGTACAAAATCTCTGTATGTTTTTTATTTTATCTTGTGTGTGAAGCATCTAGACTTCCGGATAATTATAAAGGCCGATGTAAGTAGAAAAAATGATAAAATGTAAAACAAAAATATATAATTTGAAATAATTAATTAAATAATTAGTAACTAGAGATATCTATCACGACTTCCTGGAGTATTTTAACGATCTCTATCAGGATTATTACGCTGATGAAAATGAAAACGATTCTGAATATTGGCTGGAAGAAGGACAAAACACTTTGAAAGAAAAAATCGGACAACGTTTAAATACAAGTATGTAGTTTTTATTAACAAAAATTATTGTCTTGAATCTAACAATATTTTTAAATGTATTTTTAGATCAGGCAAAAATGTTATTTTATTTTTGGGTGATGGCTGTTCATTTTCTACTTGGTTTGCAACTAGAGTTTACATGGCACAATCAAGAAACATCTCAGACGGTGGTGAAGAACTTAAACTCACAGTGGAACGCTTTCCTTATGCAGGACTTTCAAAAGTATGATTTGATTTATTCAACTTTATAATTTAACACTTATTTTGTAGACTTACTGTGTAGATTCTCAAGTAGCTGACTCTGCATGCTCCGCAACTGCTTACCACACCGGTGTAAAAGGTAACATTGGTACAATTGGCGTCAATGGTAACGTAGGTTTAAAAGATTGTGAAGCATCTATGGACCCAAGTACTCATACCATGTCAATAGCAAGAGCTTTCCAACAAGCCGGAAGGAAAACCGGAATAGTTACCACAACTCGTGTTACTCATGCATCTCCTGCTGGAGCATACGCCAGTGTGGCTTACAGAGAATGGGAAAATGATGCGCATATGTTAACAGACAACGTTGATCCTACTCAGTGTCCTGATATCGCCATGCAGTTGATGAAAGGTGAAACTGGTAAGAATTTGAATGTAATCCTAGGTGGAGGATGGCAAAATTTCCTGCCAACCAATGAGAATGATCCAGCTGGTGAAGCAGGACAAAGAGCAGATGGGAGAAATCTCATCAACGAATGGAAACAAGCTAAAGGTAGTTCCGGTGTCTACGTTACAAATAGAGATGAGTTATTATCAACGACAAAAATAGATTACCTACTTGGAATTTTCGCCAGTAGTCACATGGAATATCATCTTAAAGCACCGAAAACACAACCTAGTTTGAAAGATATGACACAGGTAGCCATTAAACAGCTCACATGCGATAAAGGTTTCTTTCTTTTCGTGGAAGGTGGCAGAATTGATCATGGCCATCACAATAACCGAGCTAAAAGGCCCTGGATGAAACTGCTGAGTTCGATGACGCAATCGCTGCAGCTTTAGAGATGACTTCCGAACTGGATACGTTGATTCTTGTTACTTCTGATCATTCACATGCTATGATCACTTCCGGTTATGCAAAGCGAGGTAATAATATATTTGAGATTGCGGGGAAAGGATCTGATGGTATAGTTTATTCCACATTGTCTTACGCATCGGGTAAATATGGATTTAAGGGTGAAAATGGCGAGCGATATAATATTAGTGATGATGATACTAAGAATGTGGAATATCGGTTTCCGGCGTTTGTGCCAATGAGTAGTGCGGCGCATGCTGGGGAGGATGTAGGTATTTTCTGTTTGGGACCTTGGGCACATTTTTGTAGCGGGGTAGTTGAACAAAATTATATTCCACATTTGTTTGCGTATGCTGCATGTGTTGGTTCCGGTCTCAAATCGTGTGATCCTCGTTACGAAACTAATTCTTTTGAACGATTTTCGACGTCATCCTCGGAGATTTCATTAAATTATTATAACCATAATAAACATTATTCTCGGCGTATTAATCATCATAGTAATAATTATAATTATAGAAAACATTAACAAAATAAGTTAAATGTGTTCAACACGTCAGTCATTTTCACTAAATCTTACAAGACTTACTAGATGTTTTTACCACTCGTGGAAAACACGAGCTGTTTCAAAGTGGTCGGCAACAGGCTACAATTGTTCATAATTTTCTAAACTTGCTATAGAAATTGGTAATTTTCTCGAGAATCATTTGTCACATTTTCATGCTTCTATCATATTCTGATAGAGTTTTTCTTTGCTTCTTTTTCTTTCTTTTTTAGTTTAGTTTAAAAATAAAAAGAACATGGAGAATCGTAATAAACAGTTGAAATTGTTCAATTCTCATATAATAATCTAAATAGGGCTAAAACAATATAAGAGAATATAATTAAACATCACTTTAATATTTGATGTAAAAGCGGGCAATCATACGAAATAAGGTTTACATAAATCGTATTTTAATTTTTCGTTACTTTTAATAATCTTAATTGAGGCAGATAGTCATCATTCATAGATGTCACTAGCATGAACTAAAAATCATAAAATAGAATTGTATTGTTTATTTTTATATTTACCGGCAAACATGGGCATTCGGCACGAGAATTGTGTTTGTTTTGTTGAACGTACACTTTCTTATCGCATACCCGTGTGTCGTCGTTGCCATCTTCTCACGCCGCACGATGCCGCATCATAGTTTAGTTTTGATCGCAGGTAACGTGCCAAATGCAATTCGCGTACAAGGTCTCGGGTTATCGACGCACTGGCTTTGCGCATCTCTTGCTTTCTTATCATAAACTATCGCGCCGTTGCTTGCTCGCGGCTACGGCATGCGCTCTCTGCGAATTGCGGCCAGTTTCGGGCTGGTCTCTGGTTGATCCAGAAGTATTTCTCGCGACTCGTTTTGTTTGTTTAGTCTTTTGCTATCTAAATATGCATTATATTCGGTCAGCAGTCGACTATTTAATTTTAACTTGCGACTATAGTAATATTATTATTGTTCTTAATCACTTCATATTTGGTTGATCACCGGTGATAATTAGTGTTTATAGTCGTGTTTGGCAATTCAATAAAAATTTATCGCTCGTATAATCTTCGTTAATCTAAATTTTGTGAGTTTAGTGTACTTATTCATAAACACACTGTGAGTGAGTGAGTGGGTTGCGTCGGACGCCGGCCAGTCATAGCTTGTGAACGCCAATACGCTAGTAAAGTATCTACCTTAGCGCCGCCTCGTGGCTTATTTCTTAAATAGTGAGATCTGAAACCTTGAGTACCATATGTTATATATATACTAGTTAACCGGGCAAACGTTGTTTTGCCATATAAATTATTTCTAGTTTCTAGATAAATTTTAGTGTAGACAAAGAGTAACTTACTTATTATAAGTGTGTCAGTATGAAAAATTTAATTAACTGAACTAATTGTGCCAAATACACTTAAAATTAATAATTTTATTATTATGAATAAAATAGTAATCTATAATATAAAAATGAATCGCAAAAGTGTTGTTAACCATTGTAAACGTTACTTACTACACTTGATACGTATACCATAATGATGGCCGAAAACTGTGTAGGGTGTGACAGAAGTCTTATTGTGTGAGTGAAAAAGAAGACCGGCTTCAGTCTCATTCCTTCAAGCGGTATGAAAAGTGAATAAATTACTAAAATGGCTATAAAAATAGGGTATTTAGTTCTTTTTCACTAAACATGATTATTCAATTTTAATAGCAAACAAATAATTTCAATTATTGTCACAATTTTATAAGTAAAGCTCTGATTGCAGGAGTGATGGAAAACCGTGGCAGCCTGGAAAAAATTCCAGAATTTGCAGTGCACATTTTGTTGGGGGTGAAAAATCTAACAATCCACTCAATGAATCTTATCACCCAACTATATTTCCTCTAATATACGTAAAAAAAAAGAAATTCTAATGCAGGTTTACGAGCTGAGAGATTGCGAAAACGACGGGAAAGAATTTCATCTGCAATAATTAATACAGCTCCAGCAGATGCTGCAGTTGATGAAATAGTTGTTTCTGAGAAACATGATATTGGCATACAAACAAAAATATTTTTTTGTCGACATTTTTTTTAAATGTTTAATTATTGATAATATATTCAATAAGAAAGTGTAAACATTAGCTTGACAGGTGTAGCTTACCCACCATTTAAAAAATAAGCCACGAGGCGGCGCTAAGGTAGATACTTTACTAGCGTATAATAAATTCACTTGTGCAAAGTATTCTTCATCAACCTCAGAACACGGACCTGGTAAATATTATCATTCCTATAATTATAGTTTCTCCACTATTGGACCAAATGTGATTCATATTTACCGGCGAAAAATTAAATTTGAAAATTGAAACTGTTTATTGCGGATAGTCTTATCATAAGTTTGTTAAGTCATATTACTGACTATTTGCGCGTTGAATGTACTAAAATGGTAAATATTTCGTGCATACAAGGTTAGATGGCTAAATCGCGCCCATGTAGATTTATTCATCATTATCCTAGTGTACTTATGTCACTTTTAACTCAACAACATATAGTGCTTTTTCTCCGATGTATTAATATATTTATTTATATCATAATTTCTTTCTTTGTTTTAGCAATCGCCTTCTAATTCCGATGGCCGCGTCACGAGCTAAATTAAAATGCGAATTTGATTCGCTTCGTCGGCGGACCCCCGATTTAAAAATAAATAATAACACCCCTTCCTTTACTTCCCGTTAACCATCTAATTTATTTCGCAGTTTTTTATCATCTTCAACATTAGTGTGAGTGTTGCAACGCGTGAAATACTGGTATGTGGTATGTGTAATTAAGTGTTTGTTTTGTATTTATCCATACGTGCTCGTAATATGTATGTCTTTTTAGTCATTGCACGCGAACGGGTGTCACACAAACTTGAGCCAGGTGTCCAGAGATGTAGAATTAAATTCTCCGTCGGGTTGTATTTGTGTGTTGCAGGAATTCGACCTGCAACCGGCGAAAATTTGCATAAAAGGGTGATTTTTGTCACCCTTTCTCGTGAAATGTATGTATTTTTTCGTGTTTGCCCGCTATCTAGGCGGCTTACAAACTTCAGCGTGACGTCTAGAGATGCGGAATTAAATTCTCCGTCGGGCTGTATTTGTTTGTTGCAGGAATTCGACCTGCAACCGGCGATAATTTGCATAAAAGAGTGATTTGTCACCCTTTCTCGTGAAAAGTTTGTATTTTTTCGTGTTTGCGCGCTATCTAGGCGGCTTACAAACTTCAGCACGACGTCTAGAGATGCGGAATTAAATTCTCCGTCGGGTTGTATTTGTTTGTTGCAGGAATTCGACCTGTAACCCGCGAAAATTTGCATAAAAGGGTGATTTTTGTCACCCTTTCTCGTGAAATGTTTGTATTTTTTCGTGTTTGCGCGCGATCTAGGCGGCTTACAAACTTCGGCACGACGTCTAGAGATGCGGAATTAAATTCTCCGTCGGGTTGTATTTGTTTGTTGCAGGAATTCGACCTGTAACCCGCAAAATTTGCATTAAAGGGTGATTTTGTCACTCTTTCTCGTGAAATGCTTGTATTTTTTCGTGCTGGCGCGCGATCTAGGTGGATTACAAACTTCAGCGCGGCGTCTAGAGATGCGGAATTAAATTCTCCGTCGGGTTGTATTTGTTTGTTGCAGGAATTCGACCTGCAACCGGCGAAAATTTGCATAAAAGGGTGATTTATGTCACCCTTTCTCGTGAAATGTTTGTATTTTTCGTGTTTGCGCGCTATCTAGGCGGCTTACAAACTTCAGCACGACGTCTAGAGATGCGGAATTAAATTCTCCGTCGGGTTGTATTTGTTTGTTGCAGGAATTCGACCTGCAACCGGCGAAAATTTGCATAAAAGGGTGATTTTTGTCACCCTTTCTCGTGAAATGTTTGTATTTTTTCGTGCTTGCGCGCGATCTAGGTGGCTTACAAACTTCAGCGCGGCGTCTAGAGATGCGGAATTAAATTCTCCGTCGGGTTGTATTTGTTTGTTGCAGGAATTCGACCTGTAACCCGCAAAATTTGCATTAAAGGGTGATTTTGTCACTCTTTCTCGTGAAATGCTTGTATTTTTTCGTGCTTGCGCGCGATCTAGGTGGCTTACAAACTTCAGCGCGGCGTCTAGAGATGCGGAATTAAATTCTCCGTCGGGTTGTATTTGTTTGTTGCAGGAATTCGACCTGCAACCGGCGAAAATTTGCATAAAAGGGTGATTTTTGTCACCCTTTCTCGTGAAATGTTTGTATTTTTTCGTGTTTGCGCGCTATCTAGGCGGCTTACAAACTTCAGCACGACGTCTAGAGATGCGGAATTAAATTCTCCGTCGGGTTGTATTTGTTTGTTGCAGGAATTCGACCTGTAACCCGCGAAAATTTGCATAAAAGGGTGATTTTTGTCACCCTTTCTCGTGAAATGTTTGTATTTTTTCGTGTTTGCGCGCGATCTAGGCGGCTTACAAACTTCAGCGCGGCGTCTAGAGATGCGGAATTAAATTCTCCGTCGGGTTGTATTTGTTTGTTGCAGGAATTCGACCTGTAACCCGCGAAAATTTGCATAAAAGGGTGATTTTTGTCACCCTTTCTCGTGAAATGTTTGTATTTTTTCGTGTTTGCGCGCGATCTAGGTGGCTTACAAACTTCAGCGCGGCGTCTAGAGATGCGGAATTAAATTCTCCGTCGGGTTGTATTTGTTTGTTGCAGGAATTCGACCTGTAACCCGCGAAAATTTGCATAAAAGGGTGATTTTTGTCACCCTTTCTCGTGAAATGTATGTATTTTTTCGTGTTTGCCCGCTATCTAGGCGGCTTACAAACTTCAGCGTGACGTCTAGAGATGCGGAATTAAATTCTCCGTCGGGCTGTATTTGTTTGTTGCAGGAATTCGACCTGTAACCCGCGAAAATTTGCATAAAAGTGTGATTTTTGTCACCCTTTCTCGTGAAATGTTTGTATTTTTTCGTGTTTGCGCGCTATCTAGGCGGCTTACAAACTTCAGCACGACGTCTAGAGATGCGGAATTAAATTCTCCGTCGGGTTGTATTTGCTTGTTGCAGGAATTCGACCTGCAACCGGCGAAAATTTGCATAAAAGGGTGATTTTTGTCACCCTTTCTCGTGAAATGTTTGTATTTTTTCGTGTTTGCGCGCTATCTAGGCGGCTTACAAACTTCAGCGCGACGTCTAGAGATGCGGAATTAAATTCTCCGTCGGGTTGTATTTGTTTGTTGCAGGAATTCGACCTGTAACCCGCGAAAATTTGCATAAAAGTGTGATTTTTGTCACCCTTTCTCGTGAAATGTTTGTATTTTTTCGTGTTTGCGCGCTATCTAGGCGGCTTACAAACTTCGGCACGACGTCTAGAGATGCGGAATTAAATTCTCCGTCGGGTTGTATTTGTTTGTTGCAGGAATTCGACCTGCAACCCGCGAAAATTTGCATAAAAGTGTGATTTTTGTCACCCTTTCTCGTGAAATGTTTGTATTTTTTCGTGTTTGCGCGCGATCTAGGCGGCTTACAAACTTCAGCACGACGTCTAGAGATGCGGAATTAAATTCTCCGTCGGGTTGTATTTGTTTGTTGCAGGAATTCGACCTGCAACCGGCGAAAATTTGCATAAAAGGGTGATTTGTCACCCTTTCTCGTGAAATGTTTGTATTTTTTCGTGTTTGCGCGCTATCTAGGCGGCTTACAAACTTCAGCACGACGTCTAGAGATGCGGAATTAAATTCTCCGTCGGGTTGTATTTGTTTGTTGCAGGAATTCGACCTGTAACCCGCGAAAATTTGCATAAAAGGGTGATTTTTGTCAAATTTTTTACTTCAAATTTTTCGTTCGAATTTTTTTGCTAAAATTTTTTCGGTCGAAAAACAGGGTCGAACTTTTTTGTTATAATGTTTGTCGGTCGAAGAAGATGGTCGAATTTTTTGGCGATTATGTCAAGAACAAAAATGTCTACGAAAAATGAATGCATTTTTCTCTTAAATTATAAATAGGGTTTAAACGGTTAATGTTATCAAAAAAGGTTATCGAAATAATGGATGTAGAATTAAATTGTCTATCAGGTATCCGATTTAAAATTTAATCGTAATTAATAGTGCCATGCATAGTACGAGTATAATTCTGTTCATGCTCTGCACTACAACACTGAAACTGTCAGTGTTTACAAACAAACATGTTTTCTTATCTCTTGCAATTTTTCTACGGTCGTCACGCGTTTGGTTTGAGCACCACGTTAGTCTCATTTTTGTCGTCAGGTGATCTGCACGCACATTTTCTTCATTATTCTTGAGTTCCTTAATTTATCTTCGCGTTGTTACGCAATATTTTTGAATGCTTTATGGATTGTGCGCGCGTGTTGTGCGGCTTCGTTAAATGCGGATTGCACCTTTATTGCGGCAGAAATTGTTAGCTGTTGATATTTTGTAACTGTAATGTAACTATTGTTAAATGTTGTCAATAAAACACAATCTATAATTATAATCTCATTCATATTTTTTGTGGTATCCTCTTTGTCGTTTTCAGTTTTAAATAATATGGCATATAAGTCTTATGTGTGAGCAGCGGGTATAATAAGATAACTCACTGTTACTTGAATTGTGCTGTTGTTTTTAAAAACATGATAAAAGTCGAAACATAAATAGAAGAATCAAATGACAACAATAAAAACACTCGGTGGTCGAGTGGAGACGTGCACCTGCTGGCATGCTAGCAGACACGGATCGAATCTCAGGTGTAGAAGGCATTTTTCTCAAATATAAAAATATCAGGTGTAATTTGAGTTGCATATATGAATTGCAACGAAATATAAGAGAAATTGAAATACAAGTGAAGGCAATATGAGAAGAAATAAGAAAGCAAGTGGAGAAACGGAGAGACAGAGAAATAGAAAAAGAAGAAGGAATAGTAGAGAATAGGAGAAGATAGAAGGAAGAGAACAGAGAGTAGAGTAGAGAAGAAAGAGAATCAGGGGAGGATCAGATTTTTAAATTTTTTGGCACGTGTCGTTATAAGACAGTCACAGGTCGATCGCCCACTGCTTCGATCCGTCCATTGCTCCCGGCCCATCCTACAGCTACGATGTCTCTGCGCTTCATCCCCGAAATTATCAGGCATATCAACAATTTTTATGGTGGGGGATCACCCCCAGAGAGGGGGAACTCCTTATAAGGACAATCCTTATAAGGTCTTGTTCAAATATTTCTAAGTTTTGTCGCCTCAAGAGAGGTGACACTTAAAAATATTCTTACAAGTTCTGACCTGTTGCTGAAATGAAAGAAGGAGCACACAAATCACACAGGATACCTTAACAATATTTATAGTGGGGATCATCCCCTGTGAGAGGGGACTCTCTTTGAGACCTGTTCCTGAAATGATAGAAGGAGTGTACAAATCAAAGAAGTCAATATATCTTACTATTTATTTATTAACAATAGAATACAAGTTTATATTTTACAAGTCAACAGAATACATGCCGCCATATTGACACCGAACTTACGACCTGCATCATCGCGCACATGTAAGCAAGTAACACATCAAAATGTTCTAGCGGGATAAATAATTTAGCAAATTGTCCATTTTCTAGGTGATGGAAAATGGAAACAAATATACAGGGTGTCACAAAAGAAAATTTTTAAGTGCATACAGGAAAACATATAAACACTCAAATATCACTCGTTTTTCACCGTTACTCTGGGAAACAAATATACAGGGCGTTACTAAAAGAAAATTTAAAGTGCAAGAAGTTAAATTCTAATATCAGTCAAAGCAAAATTTTCAGGGATGTGAAGGAAAAGGATTATACAAGGTGTCACAATTAGAAAATTCAACCATAAAAGAGAAAAACATCTAAACACTACAAATATTGCTCGTGTTCACCCGTTGCTCCGGGAAACTAATAAACAGAGTGTTACAAAAATATAGACTGCAAAAAGATAGCCCTAAAACCGCAGTTTAAGGAAAATTTACACGAACACAAAGAAAAGCGAACATACAGGGTGTCCCAGAAGGAAAATCCCAAGTTTAAAACAAAGAACACTCAAAACTCACAAATTTACTACGTACTGTTAGAAAAAACTATTATACAGGGTGCTACAAAAGCAAAATTTTAAAAACTACAAATATGGTCAATATTCACTTCATGACGAGAGAAATTTATACCGAAACAACTGTATTTTAACATAAATTCAAAGATTTTACCCGAACATCATCGGAAAACTTGAGTAAGATAGGTGCTACAAGAATAAAACACTTACATTTTAATTTATTGTGTATATATTTATCATTTGATTATGGCATCAACTGCATAAAGTAACCGACGGGTGAAGTATCACCATAAATTGATAGAACATCCGGCGGAAAACATCCAAATCTGCAGACGGCAAGCGACGGCGCGTGGTAATACAGTAGGTAAATACGATAAAAATAACTATTTACTTGTAAATATTAAGATATATGGAGACTACGATAGCGAAAAACTCAACGTACAAGATTTTATTAGAAATAATAAAAAACAAGAAACTTTTTAATTTAATGATGCAAAGGAGTGTAATTCGATTAAAAACGTTCAGCGAAAAGAGGAACGAGTCGACGGTCGACGGCAAAGAGAGCGTGGTCATGATTATTGTCATTTTAATAATCCTCAGATACTTTTTAATAACATTACACGTAATAATTAAATCATGCATGTTATTTTCGGGAACAGGGCTATGAATTCAGATAAGAAATGCTACCACGTGTTTGTAATTTGCAAAATTAATATCCCTCAAATGGAATAATCAATTTAACATCTACCAGTGCAATGATGAAGTGATTTTAGATCCAGGAATATTTCTTATCATCTGAAAACTCGTGCAGAAATTAACAGACACTTATTTGTGACTTAAGAACACTCTAACCGCCACAACTCATCAAACAAAACAGCCACACATGCTCGTTACGAATATTATGCTGATGGCGAAAAGAATACACGACGATTAATTGAATAATTGAAGTCTGAAAACGCGTGGCTAGTAGTGAGACGCGCTCGCGGACCATGCGGTGAAACGACTGCCGTGTGCGCTGCGCATTGCCAGGTACAAGGCAGGTACGTCGCGATAATACACTTCAGTCCAACAAAAAAGTTGTTTATAAACAAACGTAGTAGTAAACACGTACTTGAGAAGACGAAAGTAAAAATTCACAATATAGAAGTAACACACATACACGAAACTACTTTTACTTACTTATATATTGGTTTTGGAATGCAATAAGGATGGGGAAAAACAGGAATTTGTAATTTACCAATACAAATAAATAATTTATTGTCTTCTAAGTGTCTTTGTATAAGTTTACTGTATACGTTAGTTAATTAAATTATTGATGTTCACAACATCGCGACTAATTTAAATATTCTCTATAAAATAAAGTATTAAAATCGAAAGTATTAGAATCGGAAAAATAAGAAGTGAAAATAATTCATAACAAAAAAATACAAGAGACGGTACGGCCTTTTTATCCCAGTTTTTTTCATTCCAAATAGTACAATTTATATTTTATATTTTATGAACACGACTCACTTCCGCTACCTTCGTAAGGTGCCCTGAACACGAGTCACTTCTACCGCTACCTTCGTACCGTGCCCTGAACACGAGTAATTTCTACCGCTACCATCGTACGGGGCCCTGAACACGAGTCACTTCTACCGCAACGACAAGAACGGATTTCAAATTCTTAATATACACACAAAACTTTCAATATAACTCGCGTCACGAAATTTTCTGGCAATAAATTTCTATACAGGGAGATACAGAATCAAATTCCGCATCCGGGAAAATGATTTCAAACTTATTGTGACACCGCGTTCGTGTGTTATAACAAAAAAAAACTACAATTCCTAGCGCAACGAGAACTACGGCGCACACACACAACTTTCAATATAACTCGCGTTACGGATTTTTCTTGCAATAAATTTCAATACAGGGAGATACAGAATTAAATTCCGCATCAGGCAAAATGATTTCGAACTTATTGTGATACCGCGTTCGTGTGTTATATCAAAACAACTACAATTCCTAGCGCAACGAGAACTACGGCGCACACACACAACTTTCAATATAACTCGCGTTACGGAATTTTCTGGCAATAAATTTCAATACAGGGAGATACAGAATTAAATTCCGCATCAGGAAAAATGATTTCGAACTTATTGAGACACCGCGTTCATGTGTTATAACAAAAAAAACTACAATTCCTAGCGCAACGAGAACTACGACGCACACACAACTTTCAATATAACTCGCGTCACGGAATTTTCTTGCAATAAATTTCAATACAGGGAGATACAGAATTAAATTCCGCATCAGGGAAAATGATTTCGAACTTATTGTGATACCGCGTTCGTGTGTTATAACAAAAAAACTACAATTCCTAGCGCAACGAGAACTAGGGCGTACACACACAACTTTCAATATAACTCGCGTTACGGAATTTTCTTGCAATAAATTTCAATACAGGGAGATACAGAATTAAATTCCGCATCAGGGAAAATGATTTCGAACTTATTGTGATACCGCGTTCGTGTGTTATAACAAAAAAAAACTACAATTCCTAAGGCAACGAGTACTACGGCGCACACACACAACTTTCAATATAACTCGCGTTACGGAATTTTCTTGCAATAAATTTCTATACAGGGAGATACAGAATTAAATTCCGCATCAGAGCAAATGATTTCGAACTAATTGTAACACTGCGTTCGTGTGTTATGGCAAAAAAACTACAATACCTAACGCAACGAGTACTACGGCATATTAACTACTTTCACCTAAAAATATAATTGAATTAAGAACTTACCAGGGTACTTATCGGACTGCCAGGCACATCGAGAGCTGTAACTAAAGAAAAACTTAATTAAAACAAAAATATTTCATACAATTGAATTAGGTTAGAATTAACAATCAACACAAAATAAACATTCTATGCTGTTTAGTTAAAAAATACTTACACGAGCCTGATGGATCTTTCTGAATGATGAGAATCAACATGGGGCCGATATATATCCGATTAATTTAGTAACCGACACCAAACACAACGCCGAGTAAAGAATGTTCTCAAATCCACTATCACGTGACTTGTAATATACATAACAAACGCGATAAACAACCGGTATTTCCAAACATTAAACAAATTACTATAGTCGCAAAGTACAAATAAAAGTCGATTGATCTTCGAGTATAACACAGATTTAGAATATTGAAGTCCGAATAAACGATATAAGTCTCTCAAAACACGACTGGATTAATCAGCGACCGGCACAAAACTGACTGCAATCCACCGATAGTGCATGCCGAAACTGCGTAAACCACGACGGGACAGTATATGATAAGAAAGCAAGAGATGCGCAATGACGGTGCGTCGAAGGCACGCGACCTTGTGCGCGAATTTGCAATTGGCACATTACCTGTGATCAAAACTAAACTAGACTTCGCTGCGTGCAGAAAGTTGATACGGACTATTCTCTATAAAATGGGATAGTTAAAACGGAAATCTGAGAGATGAAATTTTAATTCTTAAGAAAAAATTGCCAAGGGGGGGCGCTTGATGATTTTTATCGACGATTTTCAATAATTAATATCTCTTAAACTAAAAGAGATAGCAACCAACGAATTGCTGATTATGAAAGATTGAACAATTCTCTATCAGATAATCATATAAAATAATTATATTTCCAACAGTAAAAGGTCAAAAACGCCACTAAAAGTACTAAAAGTGACATTTTCAATTTTTGCCCATTTTATTCAATCGCGAATATCTCGTGAACTAAAAGAGATAATTAAGTTCGCGTCGCAGCGTCTTAATCTGCAGACTATTTTCTATAAGATAGGATAGTTAAAACAGAAATCTGAGAGATAAAATTTTAAATCTTAAGAAAAATTGCCAAGGGGGTGCTTGATAATTTTTATCGACGATTTTTGATAATTAATATCTCTTAAACTAAAAGAGATAGCAACCAACAAATTGCTGATTATGAAAGATTGAACAATTCTCTATCAGATAATCATATAAAATAATTATATTTCCAACAGTAAAAGGTAAAAAACGCCACTAAAAGTACTAAAAAGTGACATTTTTCAATTTTTGTCCATTTTATTCTTAATCTACGGACTCTTGTGCTATCAGAATATGATAACATAAAAATATGACAAATGGTTCTCAAGAAAATTATCAATTTCCACAGCAAGTTTAGAAAATTATGAACAACTGCAGCGTTTTGGCGGCCATTTTCAAACAGCTAGTGCTTAATTTCCACGAGTGGTAAAAACACGTTTAGAAAAACTTTCATGCTTTGAATACACGAAAATTTTAAATTTACACCAATGGTTCGCGAAATTAAATCGTCATTGGTTATTGATAGGTATCAGTAAAAACCGGAATGTGATACAAACACGTATAACAAACACAAGTTGAATGCGATAAAAAAACACAATTTGTATACCGACAAATGTTGGAATCTAATTATAAACTTACCAATGAATAGTCTATTGAATCCCAGGGCATAAGATGTACTGTAATTAAAAAAAATCATCAGTTAGGCCATTCCAGTACATGTAATAACATCAAGCAACAGAAGAAGCAACACCATCAGTGTTCACAATAATTATGTTCAGATTTATGTTACTCGTACTCACCCAAATAAAAAATTGCAATCCAAGCCGAAGTGCATCTCACTTAATAATGCAAACCACCAGAAATGTGCGATTCATTCGGCGAGCGAACAACCCATAATTTGCTGTGGGTGCGGAGCATACAGCGATGGCACTTGAGACTGCAGGATGTTACAAACACAGCCATTTTGGGAATCACGATTCGCACAACAACGCGAACAAATAACTAGCGTTTGTGAACATTTAACGCGCGATTAATCATTAATAAAACATTAAACACACTAGTTACAACTAAATAATTGATTGCCGAACGAATATAACACGATTTGCCGAATTAAAATCTAAAAATTCGTTGGAGCTCGGAGATATACTCCCGGATCAACAAGCGACCGGCACAGAACTACCTGCAATATGCGGACACAGCATGTCATCCGACAGCTACGAATGTGATAAGACTAGTCTCTAACCCCCCACTTAAAGCCTGACTTGCGCAAAGCCGTCACGCTGATGGTACGCAGCAATCATGAACGTAATGTAATACTTCCCGAATTCCTTCACAGGAAGGCATATTCGCTCAGGACGATTAAATATAAGGCAGCTTGGCTTCGCAGCAGTTCGATTTTTTACGAAAATATAAGCCGTTTAGCATTGATTCAAATGTTACATGTGATAATAATTTATGTAAAATTGTGTACGAATCGTGTAGTCTTTTTATTCTTCATTTAAATCATTGTTGACAACGTTGAGTACTTAATTTCAGAAACTAAATTTTAAGTTAGGCAACCAACCGAACAGGTTCATTTGAACGTGCTCCGCACATAACCCAATAATTATCATGCCAAACGAAAAAGTGAGCATGGCCCAGGAAAAGCCACAGAAAAAACAGACCGAGTCAAAATCTTGGAAAGATACAAATAGAATACGAAAAATAGAACGTAAGAAATGGAAGGAAGAACGCGCTATCAAGAAAGCCGAAAAAGCAAAACTCCAAGAAGCTGCCAAAGAAGCACTACAAGCAGCAGAACATCAAAAATCACAAGAAAAACCAAGAGAACTCTCCACAATGAGCTTGGCAGTGCCTGGTTCAATCTTAGATAATGCACAATCCGCTGAACTACGAACCTATCTCGCTGGACAAATCGCTAGGGCAGCATGCATCTTTCAAGTAGATGAAGTAGTAGTCTATGATGACAAAAACTCATCTTCCACAGCCAAGAAATCAACAATTGATGATGCTCAAGGAACTAAAGTATCAAGACAATGCTGTGTACAATTAGGAAGAATATTACAGTACCTTGAATGCCCACAATATCTCAGGAAGCACTTCTTTCCCATTCACAATGACTTGAAATTTGCTGGTATCTTAAATCCTCTGGATGCACCACACCACCTAAGAGAACAAAATAACTTCAAGTTTAGAGAAGGTGTTGTGACTAACAAACCAGTTGGTAATGGGAAAGGATCTTTGGTGTATGTAGGACTTAAAGCAGATGCACATGTAGACAAAATACTTACACCAGGGTTGAGATGTACTGTTAGACTTGATCCTCAACCTGAAGGCAGTAAGAAACTCAGAGGAACTGTGGTTACACCATCTCAGCCTAGACTTGAGACTGGTGTGTATTGGGGGTATAATGTACGCATCGCCAACTCGTTATCACAGGTTTTCAGTCAGAGTCCTTATAAAAATGGGTAAGAAACAAGAAAATATTTTTAAAAAATTGCTAAATCAAATGTAAATCAAAATTTTCAGTTATGATTTGACTATTGGGACATCAGATAAAGGAGATTCAATTGATACCTTTGAAAGTCCAAGTTACAAGCACGCGCTTGTAGTTTTCGGTGGTCTGGATGGTTTGGAATCCGCGCTGGAGTGGGATGAAGTCTTAAAAGCTGAAGATCCATCTTTGTTATTCGACAGTTACTTGAACACGGTGCCCGATCAAGGTTCCAGGACTATACGGACAGAGGAAGCTATTCTTGTAACAATGGCCGCGCTACGTTCAAGATTAAACCCTGAAGAAAAACCGATTGCCTTCGAACATTCCGAAGAAATCGCACAGAGTTCTGTTTCTACATTTCCACAAAAATTCACACCGCAAAAATCTACCGACAATAATACTACTACTAATGATCTATCACGTTTTGATTAGATGATTCCAACTTGTTACGTTTTCAAGTATATATTGTATAAGTAATAATCTTAATATAGTTAGTAATAAATTCGTTTAACAAGGACCAATAAAGGCGGTCGGCCAAACATTACGATTAACAAGTCGTTAGTTGATCGGTTTTCTGCGTTATTTTTTTTTGCATTAATAAGTAACTTTTGTGTTCTCAAGTCGATTCGTAAGTCACATGCGAGACGAAAAAGTCTTGATTTCTCATAGCAACGCAACGATCGCTTCAAACAAATACTTGTACAACAAAAACGTAACGAAAGAATAAACTTAATAATTCGTACAAAAAGAGTTCCCCAACAAATCTTATTGTTAAAGACACAATTTCCCCAGCATCAACATGCAACCAAACAACATGCGCCAAAGAAACAATACATGTTGATGTTGTCCGAGGAATACCCCGTATAATTAATGGCAAGTGCAAGTGCTTTGACTTGCTGGATTTCTTTACTGTTACTTTACTTGTTTTGTTTTATCAAATACGCGTATTGACTTTTTGATTGAAGCACACGATCCAACTGCCTCAGCGCTTGCTTAATGGTTACTGTAACCTGAACTTGTACTTGTTAGCTAGTTGAATGCCCCCTGCCCACCGTGTCAAAATTAATTCTCTATCAAACACTTGCTTGTGATTACATTGCTTTTGTTGCGCTTGGTTTTTGTATTTTTTGGTTTTTTGTTGCTTATTGTAACTAAACGCTGCACTTGTGTATGGAACTTTCGACAGTCTCACGAAGGCTGGCGATGACTGCGCGTTGATCCGGTGCGTTTATTATCGCCGTCCCACTTACAATCATGTTTGCACCAGCCTGAAAACAAAAATTCATTTAATTCATCATCATGTCATTTTAAAGACTTAACAGTCTGTATCAATCAAATATAAAGGAGTAATTTATAACTTACATCTGCACATGCTGCAATTGTGTTCAAGCCAACTCCCCCATCAACCTCCACGTCAAGCAGAGGATAATTATGCCTAAGCCATTGTACTTTAGGCATCATATCAGTCATGAACTTCTGCCCACCAAAACCAGGCTCCACTGTCATGATCAAGATCATATCAGCTTGATCAATGAATTGCCTCACTGCATCAATTTCAGTCCCAGGTTTCAGTGCCAGCCCAACTTTCATGCCTGCCTCTCTCACTTTCCTGCAAGTCTTGATGATCTCCTTCACAGGCTCAATATGGAATGTGTACTGGTCGACGCCGGCGTCTGCCATCGGTTCAATCCACTGCAGCAGAGTAAAACAACATTATTATCAATTTAACCTCTATGGTAAAACTAGTGAATGCAACACAATGCACTTACTTGTTCGGGATTTTGCACCATCATGTGCGTTTCAAAGAAGGCATGCCGGATCTTCGAACGCAGACACTTGACCACCGGTGCACCGAAGGTGAGATTCGGCACAAAGTGTCCATCCATCACGTCCAGGTGCAGATAGTCGGCCCCATTGTCGAGTAATCGCTGTGATTCTTTGTACAGTTGGGAGAGATCGGCGTTGAGGATCGACGGACCGATCTTACACTTGAGGCGGTCGTTCATGGCTGTGGACGCGGCGATGCGGATGGGTGTTCCCGTCTGGCAGGACGCAGCAGTGTGTAAGGAGGCTAAGGATGTGTGCGGGCACAAACACTTGTTGCACGCCGTCGGCGCGCAGGAATGAGCAGGAAGCGGGCGGAATGCTGCTGTGCGTTGCGCGCCTGGAAGGTTATTGCAAGGACGCCGCATTGAAACGCGGTTGCGGTTGACCTTTGACAATAACACGCGCGATATCGAAACGTACGTATTTAAAAATGTTTCTAAACTCATATCCACCTAAAATACAGAATCAGCTAAATAAATATAAGTGTTTTAGGTCATTAAATTCCTTGTTTTTGTAGAATGCAATATTATTGGTTGAAAAATTCATTTAGCCAATCAGCGAGCTACTTTTTCCATGATGGCCGACCACCGTGTATTCTTATGGACTGTTTCCATGACAACCGCACCAAACAAACTCAACTCCCTCTAACCTTACTCAATTGGAACAAGCAGGATAGCAAATAAAATCACATTTCACAGGAAAAATAATGAAACATGATGAACTTAGAGCACTGAATGCTTTATTTCTTCATTGAAAGATTTACTCAATAAATGCTCGATGATATAATGCGGTTGATGATGTAAAACGTGTGTGATTAATTACAAGTTAGAAGTACATAGTTTAAAAAATAATCATGTCGCCTTGTCAACTAGTAAAATAACACTTTAGTATGATTCTCAAACGCGTTCGCTATAAATTTTACGTAAAGACTACCTTCTACATATCTTTAATTTAATTTCATCATCTTGCAAATAATACAAAAATGGTATCGGTTATCGCTTTTTTATCAACACTTTTGTTTGACCGCTTTACAAATAGTTTTGTTTGTCTTCGTCGATAGTTATAGTATGTTTCATTTTTAGTTTCACAAATGGCAGTGCAATCTTATACACACATAGAGTATAATTGTACATCTAAAACATTATTGACTAACATGTTCATTATGTTTAGTTTTTAAGCCTTATAACATCCAATTATTCGTTTCTGTCATCGCATGATTACATGATTACACGTGTATGTATATTTTTTACTTGGTTTCGTACAGTAGTTTTAGCAGTATCTTGTGTTTACGGTTATACATTAGATTTCACTTCGATAGTTAGTTATTAAAACGGTACAGTCAGTCCAATACACATATTACTTCAATTAGAGATGTAGTGTTTTGTTCTTGTTTCGTTTGATTTGATTCTTGGTACAATAATGTCAAGTGTGTTTGTCGTGTGTATGTTGTTGGAGACGTGTCCGGTGTACATTTATTGATAATTTGATAATCGCTTAATTGTATCGTTAGTTAGTATTTTAGTTGATAAGATAGTAGCAAACTGGACGTAACGAACGTAAGCCTTACACGTTTACTTGCAGCGTCCTCTCATTAACTCTATTATACCTTAATAGTTTCGTATTTATGAAGCATTTCAGTGCCCGAAGAGGAAAAGCCAAACCATTCTTACGTAATTAATCTTTGTCTGTGTGTACTCGTAGTTTAATATGCGGATTTACATTAAAAAGCAATGTTTATACCCCCGTTGCATCTCTCTCTTTAAATTGTAAGCAAAAACTTACGCTCTCAAATAGAATCGACAATGGTCTAACATTTATAAACATTTCTTGCATGTCAAAAATATGAACATTTATACACATTCACGCATTTAATATGTACATAATTAATTCATAAATTACGCTTTATCCCCTCTTATATCCTCCTATTATAGGTATCTAATAAACTTTTCTTTACGTCTCGTCGTGTTAAAACCAGAACTCTCAAAGCGGAAACGCACAAAATCACTCAAATTAGCATAGAATATAATACAAAGTAAGCAGTTCTTACGTTTAGGGTAATTCCGAGGCGTCACAATTTCACTTGTTCACGTTTACGCTCAGTATTATGCTAAAAATAACTTACGCTTCAGTCGCTTGCTGATTAATCGAATAATTTTAGGTGAACTCGCTCTATAAGCCGTACGTTTTACTTTGTTATCACATTGCTGTGTAATTATTATCCTTCTTTTACAAATCTACTCAATCCCAGTCTATAGATTCTTGCCCAAAAGTGTGTAATTTATATATCGAAAACGGTCGCTCGTGCAAGCATTCCACATGTACAGGAAGTGTCATCAATGTGTGTGTGTGAGTGTGTTTTAAACTGAAATGCTTCATTTCTTAATTTATTGTTTCTCAAATTGCTTCGCGGAGTGTCTTTGGAATGTATCTCCAGCGTAATCGAAGCTTGCGCGTCGAAATTCGCGTATTTCGACAAATTTTCATGACTTTCCAGTGAAATACGTGAATTTCGGCTGAAAGAATAGTTAAAATGCAAATAATTTGTTCCATGCGTGCTGTTTTTCCTGTCCTTTTAAGATCAAAACATCCTCAATGCTCGTTTCCCGTGTGAATGTGTGTGTTTTTATTGTTTTGGTAGAAATAATTAGTCTATAAATCTACCCGCACGGCATTATAGCAGCAGCCATTTGGCGATAACGAGCATCAATAGGTGAGGCGCAAGTGCGGCGGTCGGCGCGCCGGAAACCCGGATGTCGCCCTCCTTTAAGAACGGCGCGTCGATGACGTGGATGATGCCATTCGTGCACTCGATGTTCGGTCGAAAGACCGGAATCTTCTCGCCCTTCCAGTGGATGATGAAACCTGTAACAGTTTCAAATCGGTCGCATCAAACCAAACGATCACATTCGCCATCATTCCGAAAACACGTGTATGATACAAAAAAAAGGACCAGAGATACGCGTTTCGTATCCCAATGTGGTGTACTGCATGTTCACAATCAAAATAATGTACATATTGACTTGTATTCTACCGCACAAAGCACAAAGATGGCTTCTAGAATGAGAAGTAAGCAGATATAGTTGATACATTCATGAGAATTTTGTATAATTCTGTTCGGTACTTGTAACACCCAATAAAACAGAAACAAAAGACACCAAAAAATCAAAGAAAGAAACTGAATGGAAACGAGTTGACTGTAAGCGGTGCAATTCTGATCGATTAGCACGTCAAATGCACTCCAAAACTTACTTTTGTTAGTTTTGCTTTGCTCATCCGTATCTATGAAAATACATAAACGTTACTAACACAATAAATAAACGCAAACATAAAGGTGGTGTTCCGTGTGTGTTCCAGGGAGGATAAAACGGCACTCAAAATACCTCTGAAGCTCACACAAACAGAGGATGTACACGCGGTGAAAAGCTGGGTGCAAAATGATGTTGCAACTTACTGTGATCCTGTCGCTCCTCGACGAACATGCTCAGGCTGTCGCGTACTGTCGGCAATTCGATTTCCTTGTGCTTGTAGTAGTTAAACGGAGTCGTATTGGTATCACCAGTGAGGACTTTGATCTTTTCCATTGTGTACGCCACATCGGAGATGACCAAGTGTCTTTCCAAGATTTGAGTCACCTAGGCACAAATCATTTATTAGGTAAGTGTCATGGCGGCCAATAAAGTTTAATGGAAACTTGAAATAAAATTTGATTTTTATTGCAAATTGAAATTCGAAATGTATCGTAAATGTCCCAGTTTATCGCCTTAAGTGACAAGCGTTGCCTGCGAGTGATATTTATGATAATTTCAATTCGGTGCCGTAGTAAAGCAGTGAAATATGTCTCACGTGATATGTGAAGTCAGGCATGAAGAGCTTCTTAATCTCCGAGGGGAAGCGGATTCGAGCGTCGGCCCAGGCCTTGTCGCGTGGAACAAAATAGGTGTACTTGCGAGTGGTGTCATTCAGCTGCTGGTTGAAACCGCTACGGCTTCCCAGGAAGAGCGTGTCGCTGAAAACATACAACATTTACCTCACATGCTCAAGTGAACTTAATCGCGCTAATTTCCGAAATCGTGCATGTGAACTTACTTCAGCTGAGCGTCGTTACGCAGCTTGTCGATGATGGTGGTGTATGGTACGCCGAGCACACGATCAATGATGTGGATAACGCCGTTCTTCGCTGCAATGTCCGGCTGGATGACTGTGGCGTTGACACCGCCGCCATCGACCGTCAGCGTGCGATTGTTGCCGATCAATGCCACGTTGAAGATGAGCGTCTTCTTCGGATTCAGCGTTGCTGCCTGGTAATCCTATCGATAAATTACACGCTCTAGCAAAAGCACGCTCTGCCGCACTGCCCCACTGTTTTTCTTTGTTTTGTTTTACACTCAACAACAAACATATTGAGAGAGAAGGAAACAAACGTGGTTTATGCGTGTGCGAACTCAAAAAAGAACTACTCCATGACAGAAAACAGCGCATATCAAAAACCTCAAGACTTCTAAATCAATCAATTCAGTTTTGGTTAAAAGCGAACAACAAAACTTGTAAAAATTCAAAGCGTCTGCCTTGTGTCAATGGTTACAGACTACGTCTAGAAGTATTCGCATGGAAAAAACTAGACTATTCTATCAAAAAGCCAAAGAAATCAAGCGAGAAAACAGAAACCGTACGTGTCGCTTGTGTGAATCGGCGATGTTCTCGAGGAATAGACGCTTGTCGAGGACCAAATGCATGTAGAGGATCTCCTTCATGCTCTGCGGATCACGCAGCAGATTCTTCAGGTTACCATCGTCCCAGGCGGCATTCGAGGGTGCAAAGAGCGTGATGCTCTCATGCGCACGTTCGATTGTCCTCATGAACTCCTGGCCAACTTCGCCGGCATCCGCGATTTCCTGGCAGAATTTACTCAGGGGACCGTCCTCTTTATCCTGATCATGTGACAAAGCAAACATAACAAATAAAAACCGTAAATAAGTAAAACGGAGCAAGAAACAGTTAGGTTTTGAGTCAGATTATTACAAAATAACACAGATTAACCGAGTTACGGTGACATGCAAGTTTAAGTACACATTAATTAACAAAACGGTAGATTAAATGATAAGTTTCATTCGAAACCAAAGAAAATTAACGTGTACAATCGTAAAAACAACGTTTGCACGTTCAAAACAAACATTTTAAGTGTCAAACATAAAACATAAAATCATTCATGCGTAGTATAATAATATATCCATGCTAAATCCAAATTATCTTCTTAAACATATTAAACAAATCGTTTAGTAAGAACATTCCAGAACTTCTCGTGTTAGTGGCGCATTGTTCACATAATTAAACAAGTCCAATATCCCCGATGTGAGTTGGTGAGTTTTGTGAGGGTTTTGCAATTACTGGTGCGTGTTAGACAACAACAACGAAAAAAGGTATCGCATAAAAGTCCAGTTGCTTGTGTGTTAATAAACGGTGTATTAATTCGGTTATTGTTTCGAGATGGAACAAAATCCGCTATGCGGAAACACATTTTTTTACCTTGTACTGCAAACGACGTCCGTTTTGTTAGAGGTTTTTCAGTGATTTTCAGGCAACACGGTTGGAAATAGAATGAAAAGACTCATTAAAATGCAAACACACAAATTCAAAAACAAACCGAGCGCAGTTCACAAAATCATTCTTTTGTCCATTTTAAAATCTACGCGCTTGAATAAATATTATTCTTCGAGTGTAACGAGTGTATTTACGTTTCGAATTGATAGAATGATAGTATCTTCAACACCAGCGCCATGTGCACCTCGTAAAAGTTTATGCTCGGCGCTGAGAGCACATGTGTGCACTATTGCACATTATGTAAGAGCATGAAACATACATAAAAAGATGTGTCCACACCCTCTAGAATGCCCTATAGCCCTGTGCAACCGTGTGAGCTGTTAGATAATTTAAATTTGCATAATTAGCGTGGGTGTGTGCATTAACTGCATTCTAATTTCAACCGTCTCTGTGGCAGTTTCTACTTAGTTGAAATTTAATTAACGCCGCGTTTGTGAAAAACGCACGCCCCTCTTCCCCCTTGATTTACTCGACGTTCAGCCCTGCAAATCCTGTCTTTAAACGTACGTAATCGTCTTTAAACCAGCGCTGCAGGGAAGCAAATTGCCGGAAGTAAATCACCTCCGTAAACAATAGACTTGCAAGCTATGGATACAGCGCTGCGAGAGGCATTTTTACATTTTTCCACGTTGCACGTTGTGAAAGTACACAAAAAAAACTAATTTACCTGAAGGAAATCCTTGACGGTCTTGTCCACGACCATTAAAGGTTTGTTGATCAAATGCACAACACCATTCTTTACAGGAATGTTAGCCTTGACGATTTCGGCCAGTACTACACCCTTGGAATGTGTGTTATCACCAAGGATGTTATGAGACTTGATATAAACTATAATTAAAATAAATTTAAAAAAAAAACCTTAAATTTTTATTATTTTGAAGTCTTACTAGTCGTGGTACGTCCATGAGTCTCCTCTGAGAAAGTAATATATACTTTCATGTTGTCCCCGTCGGCCATAGTGGGATAAGGCATGTCCTTCGCAGTTGGAGCAGTAAACAGGACCATTTTGGGGATGACATGCCCGTCGATCACTTTGGAATCGATCGAATCCGCGTGTGAATTCTATTCGCACATAAATAAATTAATATCTTGTTCCAGAAAAGTAATTTTTTATGTTTTTCGTTTACCTTGAAACCCTCATCGACAGGAATGAAAAATGTATGGCCTCCCTCGTTACGGAAGATGTCCTCCTTGCGCGTGCGCACGATTCGTTCGCGGAACAATCTGCGTTCATAAATTATTTAAACTTAATGCGCGCGGCAGCAATTTATCTACAGGCGTTTGAAATTGAGAACGAGAAGACGTGCCAGATTCTAATCTCGTCCTCCATCTCCATCAATTTTATCATTGGAGAAGTTTGAATTAAGTTTCTATTCGGGGACGGTTGGAAATTATTTTTTAAGCTATAAGTCAACCTACCGTACTCTGAAGGGATTAATATTCAGTGATTCGTAGTGTTCGAGGAAGTCCCACGCGTGCGGGTTGTAAAGTTTAGTCGCTGCCGTGCTGGGAGATATTACCGGGACCAAGACTTCGTCGATTTTATGCAGGACCTATGGATAATAACATAAAATCATTGATATATTTGTAGATTATGATTAGAAAATGATTAATTTTGATTCAATGAGTCACCTGTTCCATGTGCCTTGAATTCTTTGCTTTGAAGTTCGATTGGCTAACGAGGAGACGCGCGTTGTTGATGTAAACATCGTCATGATAGGAGCCCTTCTTGGTGGTCACCCAGAGGCGAGGATTGCCTTCTAATTCAGAGGTCAGCGACGTCGACGAGCCGGTTACAAATTGGTCGGTTGTCTGCGGCAAGTTCGCTGTGGGCACGCAAATCAAACAAAAGTGTGAGTGCTTCGTCATCATCAAAATCAACATCAAAAAGGGAAAATGAAAGTGCATATCGATTTTCATCATGTGCACGATGCAAACAAAACCGCGCATGATGCATATGCGTCGCTGACGGTGACAAAAGGTAATTTTCTAATCGGGAGAGGGTGAAACGCTAAAAAAATGTAAACGAAAACGAAAGGGTGGCTTGTCTGTTAAGGGCGTTCGAAACGCCGCATTGTCACGCACCGTCTAGACAATTTGGTGTGCATTTAAAATGAGGCGGGAGATTATAACCGCCGCGACGCGTGCCGTCAAGGGTTGAGGTTGATGCCTTCCGTTTGATTGCTTCGCATTGCATTTAATGCTTGCAGAACGTTTTATTACAACGTCAACTATACAATTCACAAGTTTATGGTTTAATTAATAATTAATTATTAACAGTCGCATTAAAAATTCATATTAATTTCGTACAAATTAAATGAAAAAGTTAGGCAACTCATATAACACAAAACATATGCAACCCAACATATCCAAATCGATGTGATCACGTCGCGCTCGTAAATCGTGAAATTTGTTCGCACTCGTAATTAAACAAGTTTAGCTGGTGTGCGCCCCATATTAGAGATGGTCCAGCATGGTGGAATTCTTGCCAAAGGGATATTTCTCACGTCCGCGCAGGATGCAACAGCGGTCAGCGTGTTTTACGACCACAATCGATTGCTGCACTCGCAATTAAATTGAAATTCAAGTCGAAACTATTTTAATGCCTTTGCCATTTCTATTACTATTACCACGATCGCAATGATAACGCGAAAAACTATCAGATATCATTATCACCAACTCGTAAAACAAAAATTGTATAAATTGCGTTAAGAGCATGAATATTTCATTATAAAAGTATGAAAGTTGGTAATGCGTACTAAGTATTATCAACGTTGTGGTAAGTTGGCGAACAAAAACGAAGTAAATTATAAGTTTCATGAGTGTATGTTCTTTGGCGATATAGTTTTTCGCGTTAATTAAAATCCCCGCGGCGGCCGTTCGGGTCGGACCTTATTGGTCCCCTTCGTCGGATGATTCTGCTTCTTGCTACGTCTTTGTCGGAGAGCTTACGCGGGCGGAAAGCTCATGAATATTAACGATGGCACTTTTGGAGATTGAGAACTACGGCTTTTGCTTAATGCGAACGCGTGTCACATACAAAAACATTGCAGGACGTAAATAAACTTTTTTTGAAAATAAATTATTCAAACAACGCCATCTAGGTTTGAATTACGTAACTACAACTATGATTGTTTGGTAACAAAACTTTTTCGCTTATTTTGCATCGTTAAACTTATATTTTTGCAATAAAAAGTTGCTTATGTTATTTTCCACTGTCTAATCCATCACTATTCAAAAATCATGAAAATTTGTTTAGTGGTTTGGGCGTGAAAGTATAACAAACATCCACATGAAAATTTTGGTGGTATGCAATAAGAATATTTTAGTTCTGAATTTGGTAGACTATTAAATATTAAATTACCGTTATTTATGAATAGTTTATGTTGTTGAGAGGATGTTTAAAGTATGAAAATAAATTACACCTACGTCAAACAAAAGTTGAAAATTTACAAATTTCCCCCCTGCAATGTTGGTTGCAGCATGTTAATATATGAATATTAACATCGGAACATTTCACGAATTTAGGAATATTCACGACGCCGTAATGTCCAATTACACCAACAACGAAAATGTTTTACATATTTCAACGCGTCGTATTTTCGTGAGCATTTTCGTTGCATATTGCATCTCGGCGATGTTTCCGTGAGCGTTTCTGCATTTCCGCACCGCTGCATTTCTACGTTCGCGAATTAATTGCGGCGAAACCGAGAAATGGCGAGAGTTGCTTCATATCAGTCGACAGAGCGCGCCGGGTAATTATTATCCAGCTACCTGCGGCTTTGGCGGCGTTTCCGCGAGTTGAATTGAGATGAAGTGCGCGCGAATTCCTGGTCGTGCGGAATGTCTTTGTCGACTAATTGAAATTAACGCATCGGGCGTCATCCGGTGACGTGCAACAACGGGAACAATTAGTTGCGATTCCAAGTCACAATCAAATTAATCGATCGCGCAGCCAATACCTATGCAACCACCAATACATAACCATTTAATATAGGCAACTTTTCTTACACCAAATATAAAGTCGTGTGAGTGTATTATTCACATTTTTATGTTAAAAGTGAGTATAATTTAAAGAAAACTTACTCATATGATATAAAACCAATTCCTTATCAAGTTCGTCATCGTAGGGTGTCTTATAACGTTGGAAGGCTTCATTCGTCGGCGCAAATATCGTCACCTTCTTGAGGCGCAGCGACATATTGGCGATATCGTTGCGATGCAGCATCGAATAGAACTGTAACAAATAGAACACAATCAGCAAATAAATCAGCGTCGTGAAATCGATATCTGCAATTGATATCTTCGCCCTTTTCGGCGTTTTATTTGCTCGGGGGCGAGGGCAACGACAGCAAAACGAAGACAGCGCCATCGTTCATCCGCGCGTGGATAATACAGATGGTAAAAGACATGTCGAATAAAAAGCTTTCGCCGAGTTTGGGCAATATCGGATGGAAATAATTGATTCGCTCGAAGGCGGAGGGCAATTTCAAAGAGCCGGGTGGTCTCTTTTAAGTTGAAGTTTACTGCAGCGTAAGCGCACATTTTATTAAGTCTCAACTGATAACACGTCTCTATATATTATTTCATGCCGCGTGTAAGTAAACAAGTGTTTAAATTGAAAGCGGCGTGAATAAATTGTTTCAGGCGCCTTGCATTCATTCAATTCGACGACAAGAAAGAAAAGGGTCTTCGTATTTTCGTCATGCAAATTAAGCGATCTTATTACAACAAACACACGCGTTAGTTATGGTGATAATCGACGTTGTTCAGCTGCGCGCGGACAATATGAACCCCAAGCGCGCTGCGGGTCTTAAACTAGTACTTCCGGCGCCCACCAGTGTTACCAACTGTAAGCTAGCGTTAGAGGAGATCAGTCACTGCCCTCCGCGTTTGACCTCGTGATTAATCGCCACTTCTCGGCGCGACTCCTCTGTTGGCGACAAACCGGCCGCAATTATTCAGCTAATGAACTTGAACTTACTAATTGCCAGCACGCTTTGATGCAGAGTAGCTTAATCAATAAATAATTAATTATATAATAATTGAATGCATAAATTAAAGCGCACAGAAACAGGAAAAGGAGATGCGCACTGCGCTTCGTTACACATTCTATTGTTATTTTAATTTTAATCTAGAACTCCGCATTTTATTCAAAAAAAAACCAATTTAGTGATGATATTAATTTTGCTTCGCATGTGTTTTATGAGTTTTTGCTAGAATGAAATAGTTTTGGTTGGATACATTTACGCTAGACATGAAAATATCCAAACTTTCCGGCTGCATGCGAGAAACTTTAGATTTCGAAACCACGCGGAATTATTTTAAAGAGTTTCGCATGCATGCGGCCCTCTCAACATGCGATATTTGCCGGATTCCTTAACAAAATAAATTTTCTTTAGGAATTTAAAGGAGAACTTTGTAACAAATTAATTTAAGTAAAGAATTTTTTTACTTTAAATTAAAATATTATGAAAAAAAAGATGATTATGTGGTGTAATCAATCATCAATCAATTCCTAACGAGGCAAAAATTGTTGTGTAATGCATATGCATCAGACCGGTTCAATGCACATTCAGGTACCTAGTATGTAATTACGCGCAAAAATTACGCAACGCGTGTAGCGCTGTTGACAGAAATTTAAATTTTCATTTCGGCAGCTTTTAATCGCCCTCGGCAAGCTCCCAAAATCCAATTATTCTATTTTTAAGTTTTTCCATGCTCTAAATAACCTAAAATACAATTATGAAATTTTTAGGTTATGTTATCACCTAAAAACTAATTAATTTTTATATCGAGTTTTCCACCATGGTCGTAAGCTTGTTATTATGTCACATACTGCTTTTCTAGTCGTTAACCATCGGAAAATCAATGGAAATAATTTCTAACCGAAGTACTGTGACCTTATTTCACTCTAATGTAATTATTTTTCGAACAATAAAGCTTCGTCAACATAAAAAGAATTTTACTACGTGCAATTTGTAGATAATATCGTTTGGCGAAAGTTTGGTTAGTATTGTTCTCTTGTGTTGTATTTGTGTGTATACAATAAAAGAACAAAATATTCAAGACGTAGGCTGTTTTAGAGGCTAGCCAGGGCTTACATAAGAGATCGATAAGGATACGGGTCGCGAGCGCCACGCGAACGCATAAACAACATAAAAACGCCAAGATTATGACCGAGGGTGAGCGAGAAATAAGCGAAAAAGTCGAACGCCCCTAATGCTAGACTTCCCAAAGCACCTTGCCTAACCTAAAAGGACGCGTTAAGATAGTCGTCGCCTTCGATGCCGGAACGAATGCTACGTGTGGTGGGGCAGACCAGCGGTTTAACCACTTTAAAAATTGCTGGGGTGTGCTAAGTGGATTTCTGGGGGTCGACCGAGACCGCTAAATATTTCAGCAATGCCTAGCTACACCGTCAGGCAAATGGACAAATAAATTTCGAAACTTCATGAGTATCTACGCACTTTCAGCGACATCTGGAGCGCCATCTAGGATTTTATAGTGAAAGTAGTAAATTAAATGCATGGCGGTGGCATGTTGTTTTTGTAGGTTAGGTGCATGCAAAAATTCGCTAAATTAGTTTTGCGCTTGTATCTCTTATAATTAAGTCGGAGACAATGAAGCGGAGTAACAAAGCTGTTCGTGAGCGATAGCGCGCGAGCTCTCAGCCTCTAACTTTCCGGCAAGTTCATTCAAAGCTCTCCCCTATTCGAAGGGCTGTGTCGATGTCATTTAGGGTCGACCGCAAGGTGCGCTGCGCTCATCACATAACAAAGCAACGTGGTAAGAAACTCAATTTTCCACCTCGAATTATTTAAATTAAATATTAAAACGTATAATACTCAAAAAGCTCAACACAGAAAAAAACCGTTTGGTTTTATGGGTTTTAAGATGGAAAAAGACGAGATTTGAAGACATTCAATGCACGTAGGAAACACGACGGGTGCTGATAGCAAAACCGTGAAATCTTATTTCGTTATACTCTTTAGATGTCGTTTTAGACTGCGTTGGAAAATCCAGATTTACAAATTCCGGATTTTAATGAATAAAATTGAAAGAAATTGAAACAGCAAAAAGATTCCGATTTCATTCCGGGCTGATGGCAATTTAATGAAGAACTTGAACTTTTACGCGGTTGCAGCTGCGGTTTGCAAAAACCACGCGCGCACAAAAGCAGCGAAGGCAATGCAAGCAAACAAACTGGAATAAACCTCAAAACCTCGCCTAGGTGAAGGAGATTCAAGCGATTCCAAGACAATTCCCCACATTGCACTCGAAGCCGGTTACTAGTAGAAGTGTACTGCCAGCAGAAGCAACGATGTAATTAGGAAATAGGAAATCCAGCCAGCGTCCGGACGTCGCACTCCATTTTCTTCCTCCTGCAGGCGCCGACCGAGACGCTTACATCATACTTACGCGCAGGAAATCTCTATTTAATCGCAGGAACACGCAAAAAACAATTCACTTCACTAGCCGCTGTGTACTGGGTGTGCAGACGGGTAAGTAAGGAGAGGAAAAGATTCACCTGTCATTTCCGCGCGTGTCGAAACAATGCTGTACACAATACATATAAGCCTTTGTACTGTTAATCCACCCTTGGGTAAAGGGCGCGCGTATTCATTGTGTGGGGGTGTACATGCCAAAAACAGCAAATTACGAGCACCTACGTGGAATACCGGATGATTTATTGCATTATTTCATGATAGTCACGGCTTATTGCATGTGAAAATAATATTTTTTGATGTATTTGTTTATAAAGTGTTGCAGAATATGATTTGCAGTCAGGAAATTTAAAAAACTGAATGAAATTGCAAATGCATAATCAAAATGACAAAAAATTTGATATTTTTAGGCATTTTTAGACATTTTGCACATAAAAACATAAAAGTTTCGATTTAAAAACTTGAAAAGAGGTAAATTTATTCATTTTGCAATTAAAATGAATATATTTCCTACATTTGACCTCAACATAACCTCAAAATATAAATATTTTACTTTTTGACCTTAACATAACCTCAAAATATCAATATTTCACTTTTTGATCGCAACATAACCTTAAAACATCAATATTTTATATTTTTACCTAAACATAACCTCAAAATACCAATATTTTACTTTTTAACTTCAACATAACCTCGAAATTTCATTATTTTACCCTTTTGATCCCAAAACCCTAATTTTTCGTTCGTTTTGCTTTATTTTCGGATAAAATTCAGTTCAATTCCGTTGAGTGCTCCGCACACAACGTATCCTACCCCTCCCCCCTGTTGCGCCCGCATGTGCAATGTAAATTCGCAGTTTTTATTAAATTTCAATGCATCCAGCGCTTAATACATTAATTGCAGTAAATAAAATTATCAGCCGTGCGGCGATGCTCTCTCATAATAGATGGCAACCAGCAACCGCGCATTGCCATTAGTTACGCCGCGCGGCGATTCCCGGTGGAAATTGCAGCATTGTTTAATAACATTACGCGCCGTGCTCGTATATTACAATAGGAGCGGAACGACTTGAATTACAGATAGCCGCAGCGAATTCGATTTCAGGTGTGTTATACTTTCACAAACGGTTCAAAACATACCAAAGGGGACATTTTACATTTTACTTGCATTTAAACTATAGGGATATCCAGAAAAATATTTTGTAACACTCTGTATATGGCTATTAAACAACCCTACATCCCTACGTATAAAATATGTATGCAAATCGTTCTGTAAACCCGTTCCAATCGTATAAACTTCGATTGCAAGCACGCCGAAAACTTTTTTTGATTTCTTTTCCTCTTCGGCTGCTTGTGAACATATTTCTTATTTATGTTGAAGTGCTGGTTCTTCACACGTTGCGCCATTGTTTCCTTACTGACAAAACACGCATGAATTACTAAAGCACCGCGCTGTGCAGTTACATCGCAAGATGTAAGTTGTAAACCCTTCAAGGATGCAGATTGTATAGCTTGAGGAGAGTGGTGAAATACTTAAAGGACACTGAGATACACCCGGCGAAGTGCGAATCAAGTCGACTTCTTGTTTCCGGACGGCGATGGTCGAATAGGAAATGCTAAACCGGAAACACAGCGAACAGAGTCCACACTCGAATATTAATAGTGAACGCTCAAAGGATGGAAACTGCTGGGAGTAGTACACTATGAGAGGAGGAATATTTGCGCAGATTGCAGCGATGCATTTGCACTTGATTCTTATTACATGAGCCGGAAAGCCGGAAGCTGAACAA